CAAATGGAATTTTTAACATCTTTTCTTTTTAGTTCCTATCCAGAATCATTCAATCATTACTGCTTCAATTCAATCACAGTGACCATAAACATCACATAAAATTAGATGAACACAGACAACCTTGGATATATCTACTGTATGTATGGATGTGATAGGGTGCTGAATGTGTTAGATGAGAATGTTGCATTGTGGGATGGCATGTGGTAAAGCATGTCCAAAACCAGCAATTTTGGGGAAAATTAGAATTTATTACATTTCATTCAATGAAAACAGACATACTTTAACCTTTTATAACAACTTTCTCATTTTGATTACTTTCGACATCCAGGTGTGTCTTATATAGCAATACCATGCCCACTTCTGTCTCCCATGATGCAAGGCTCGTAAAAGTATACAATGATTCCTTTTTGGGAAAGTAGGTAATGCATCAGTGTAAAGAGTGAATTTCTCTGATCCATTCTAGAAATGGTGATTCTTAACTCAAAACCTTCTGAACTATGACTGTCTGAACAGCAACTCCCATGGTAGAGATAACAAAAACAGATATCTAAATGTAAGTGCATCCATCTGTCTACATTTTACTCATCCAATTTCCTGTATGTATTTTACAAAACAAAAAGAATCAATTTCCTTGAAACCATTCTTTGAATTTTGAAATTTCCCACTGGCTTTTAAAGAGCTGCTATCAGTATAGGTCAGACAGTGCATCAGTATACACCATGATAATATTCAACAACAGACCTGTCACTGATGAATATAAATCACCAGTCCCCTGGGACCATTACTGCCATGTCTTGTCCTGCACTTCAATTATAGGCTGCCGAGTAGCAATGGCAATTTTCTGAGCACTAAGCATTAAATTTAGCTTCTTAAAGGGACCGTATGCAGAATTTTGATGAGATCAGATATGATTACTTAATTTTTCCAGACATCCTCAACAACTCTTCAGTGCTTCTTGACCAACACACTATGGAGTTTCAGGTTCAGAAGTACCCCATAGTTATACATTTTCATGGCCACATTTTTTTTAAATAGGCCTAAGATAAGTGAATGGTAACACGACTTATTTTATGATGTGAATAATTATTTAACAACTACCAATCTAGGACACTCCAAGTTAATCCATATACCAAAACATACATAATTTTCTAAATGAAAACTTTTCTATTTTGTAGCAAGTATATAGGGAGTCAAGTAGCTTTAACTGTCTGCTGGGCAGGAGCTGAAAAGAAGAGTTCTGGAAGATATATTGCAGGACCATTGCACACAGTCATTGCAACAATAAATGCTCTGTTTACATGCCAAAAGAGATGAAAATTTGCAGCAGATCTTAAGCTATAGACGTTCTTCGTAATTTATTAGTTTGAATCCTAAATTAACATGCCAAAGCATGATTTAACAAAAGAAGTCTAGGAGAGGCAGCATGAACTTGTAAATACTATAATACCTGGAGTCTTTGCAAAAGAAATCAATACAAAAAACAAAATCAGGTTAAAATGGGTCCGTGGGCTTTTTCTGGCGTATAAATCAATGGGTGTGTCCATAAATGGAGTATGTGTTTGTACTTTTTTACGTCTTTCATCCTTTAAGTGGTAATAAATAAAATAAATCTAAAAATAAATAAATAAATACAATGTCTGTCAATTTATCAGACAGTGCTTTTACAGAACAAAAGGAAAAAATTACCATTGGCGGTTTCATTTGGAATTTTAGATTTGTAGAAAAACAATAAATACACACAAAAAAGACAATAAAAACAATGACTGATTCTCATCAGAGCATAAAAGCCATATGGAAAACTTCAAATGATATCTAAATACATCAATAAACCATCATCAATGACAAACTCACTGAAAGCTCAAATACTTTACCTGAAAAGTTACTAAAAAATCAAATTACTTAAAAATGAGGACAATCAAAGTTATTATCCACTTTCAAAGTTGATGGGTATCATCAAAACCAATGGCTGCCAATGGGGAATATTTTTCTATTGGCCATAAAAAAAGGAAATAACAGTGCAAGTCATTACAGGAGACAGCACAATATCCAATTTGGGCACAGAACAGATTGTTCCCGGTCAAAATGGCGACCCCCCCCCCCCTCAAACTCTCCCTAACTGGCCTGATCCATAAGAGAAAATACTGTGAATTTACCATGTTACATCAGACATTAATAAACTAAAATCACCCCTGCTTAATTTTTGCTTTAATAAATCTAAATATCCTATACATTTTGTACATCATTTTTTGTTACATCTTATTCAATGATAAATTGAAAAAAATATATATTGAAATGGTCTTTTCTTCTTCTTTTTTTTTCCGATCCAAAGTAGGTAAATAACTTAAAGCATTTGGCAAAAATATCTTTATAATCTAGTCTAGCACTTGTCAGGTATTTCTAATCTTAAGTAGGTGTATGGGTTAGGATAAATCCTGCACATAGTCAAGACCATTAAAAACATTGGTATTTGTAAATGAATGAAACTCATTTCTGATATACCTGTGCACATAAAAAAATTCCAGAAATTCAACATTCATTTGCCTAGTATACAATTCTTATATATGAAGTGCACAATGGTTTTATGAAAATTCACTTCTCTTTCAATCCTCATCCAGGGCAACACTAATAAAACCAGATGTATAAAAACAAGAAATCAATGCTTCCAGCCATTCCTAAGATTCTGTAATCTTGCAGAAATTATAAAATAACAATGCGAGGAAATACATTTCCTTTCAAATTCAAGCAGCAATCTATAAATGAAGCAGCCAATGGAAGGAAAGAAAAATGGATGACAAAAAAACAATGATGGCAGGCAGATATTATTAGAAACAAAGGAAAGTGACATTCTTCTCCTTCTGCCAATCAAGGAAACCCAGCGAGTAACTAACACAGCATAATTGAGCAAACCACTGACATTTAAATAAATGTTTTTCCTTTTCCGTCCAACGTAAATCTCATTATTCAAGATTTATACTAATTGCCCATATTCCAGATGACAACCTAGCTTCCTACTCGTCATCAGGATGTAAAGATAGATAAATTCAATATTGATGCATGTTTAATGGCCGTTTGGGTACCCATTGCGTGATTATTTTACATTTCCCAACAATGTCTACACGATTAATCAAACACGTCAAAGTTGGTCTGATGTTGTCTTCCTGATCTCATTATAAAGAGAGCTCATACAAATCCTCAGCATAATGACTTATCTCCTGTGTGCACAATTCCAAATGAGTCAAGACTGAAACATTATTTGCAGTTGAAATAAAACATTGCACAATAGCGCAGATTTCACTCATGACTTTTCTTTTAGGATCTTCCACTAGTAATCACCTAATTGAACATCAAGACAAATAAAACTATAACAGAAATGATATTTTGTAATCAGAAGTGAAGATCCTTAAAATTTTCAAACAATGTGACATATTCACAGAGAAAACACTATACAGAACACATTTACTCATGAATTTGCTGACAGCTACTGCGACCTTTTGAAAATTACTTTATTGGTAACAGTGCCTTTGGTAGTTTTCAACTTAAATACCATCAACTGTAAGATGAAACTGCCATTGTCAACGCTATTTCCTTGAATAACATCTAAAATACACATTGTCAAATACATACGAGACGAATCACTAATTGGAAACATTAAAGAAAGATCATCCTGTGAATTTACCATCAAATACATCACCAAGTCAGATAATTAGTATCACTTTGTATGCAAAAGTGATACACATTACAGGGAGTAACTGATTAATGACGTAAATAGAGAAGGCTCGTGCAATGAGTCTGCATTACTTTACTCCATTTATCTCAACAGGTAAGATGATAAATGCTGCGGTATATGCTCAAATTACCTTCATTACCCAACAAATTAACATGTAAATACCTTTTTCAATAACATTTCATTTAGAAGATGCTGTTAGAATTCCGTAATAAACTGATTACTGTTTCAGAAAAGGTGTCTTTATAATAAAACATTTTGATTAAACTGCCAACATACAAGAACAAGAGTAAACAATACGAAAAATGTCTACTCTTCTTTTCTATTTAAGGAAAACCCAATAAAAGAAAGCTAAAGAGAACACAAAATACAATACAGCAATCTTGATGCAAGAAATCATTTACCATATTCAAGTCTACCGCACAGTCTGAGATATAGATTTAGGAAACCGTGCAAGGCAAAAAAAATAGTCACTTACCTAATATGATCGTAGATGGTGAGACACCTGCCCGAGTCTTGTAGATATTGCCGTAGTGTCTGTTAATATCTGGGGATGCAAATCTACTCATCTCCTGTCCTCACTTAAGGCCCGATTTTCTAGTCTCGGTTGCATTTCTGAACTTTGATTATTGAATTGCCATGTGCCATGGGGTTATTACAAAACCAGCTGGGTCAATACTATTAAGATGTTGATTCAATGTCAAGTGTAATGTGCAATATAACTGAATCATTAACAATAATGTTTGCATTGTTAAAAAAAACTCATATTCGGGGCACTTTATTTTTCTTTGGTTGTCCATTCGATATATTAGGTCAGAAGGTTGGATTTTCCCATTTTAAAGCAGAACTGACTGACTAGCAACAAATTATTCAGACAAATTACTTCTGAATCAATATAAATTTTCAGCTAGGCAAATAGACCAATGTCAAAAGAAAGAGTTCGGAACCAATGAAAATTTTGAAATAAAATCCTTCCATCTTGTATGCTGGATTTTAAACCCATACACAGAAAAATGTCTTCATAGATAACTTTTCCAAGAAATTTTAGAGCAGGTGAAAATAAAAAGGACCAGCAGCAATCTGTGGTTGCCAGTCACCTATTACGTAACTTTGACTGCGGGAGTCAGATTTTCATGTTACACCGGTATGAAATACCAGCAAAGGACTAGTAGTTCTTCCAGAGTTTTCAAAATGTCTGATACACATGCACACACATATTAACATATTCACTCAGACATTTACATACACATTTACACATGCACATGCACACTCTTACCGTGTCCAGTGGTGGCTACCCCAGGGTCATCTGGATCTATGGCATACGTGTTTCTATTGGATAAATGATCCTCCACCATGGGGTCCCAGTTCTGCAGTTCTGCTGTGGGGCTCTCACTCCTCTTTTCCAAGGGGGCCAAAGCATTATTATTTTCTCCAGGGTTTACACTTTGATCTGATTCCATCAAGAGATCCTCTGCTTTTTGTGCTTGTTCTTTGCCTGTAAAAACAATGTATTAAATTTATTAACAATGTATTATATTCATTAAATTTTTTTAAAGCTTTTTTGGTGCAACAGAAAAAAAATTGTGATTTGCCATACTCAAAAGTAATGTCTCTGATCTGAAGAAACCTTATACACTATACTGAAAATTTCTCACCAAAAGCAACACACTCCATTTCATTAACCATTTAACACAGTCCATATTACGTTTTTAAAATGATATCTTTCTCACACATGCACATTCATATGTACATGATCATTGTTCCCATAATAAAATGTTACCTCTTAAACATTGTAATGCCTAACAAAATGTCGTTTTACATTTTGTAACACAACATTATAGTCCATATCACCAGCTTAACATAATGCTGCATGACTGTCATATATCAATACCAAACATATATATATATTATGTTATGTGTTTTACAGTTTCAAATTAAATACAACCTGGTGTGTTTTGTTTTGTATACATATCATACCAAACCAAAATGTTTAATGTAAAATGCTGAGGAACCAAAAACTTATCTTATGTGCTACACGCTGTCATCCCATGGCCAAAGTTAACATTCACTATCACACCAAACACAATGCTGACATAGACTATCACACCAAACACAATGTTGACATAGACTATCACATCAAACACAATGCTGACATAGACTATCACATCAAACACAATGCTGACATAGACTATCACACCAAACACAATGCTGACATAGACTATCACACCAAACACAATGTTGACATAGACTATCACACCAAACACAAAGTTAACATTCACTATCACACAAAAGACAATATTGACATAAACTATCACATCAAACATAATAATGACAAACACTGTCACACCAAACACAATGTTGACATACACTGTCACACCAAACACAATGTTGACATATACTGTCACACCAAACACAATGTTTACATACACTGTCACACCAAACACAATGTTGACATACACTGTCACACCAAACACAATGTTGACATACACTGTCACACCAAACACAATGTTGACATATACTGTCACATCAAACACAATAATGACATACACTGTCAAACATAATGCTGCCTCACTGACACATCTAACACAATCTTTATCCATACTAACCAAAGACTTCAGACTTGGCCAGTCCTCTTCTCACTAGTTCCCCATTAACCCAGACATCACTTGGTCCACTTGAGTTCAACAGTATCAAGTGTAAGGACTGCTTGCTGCTTATGGGGCTAAAATATTAAGTCATTGGTTTTCTTGAGTCAAACCTTACTGCTGAAATATTTCAAACATTGTCAATGCATATAAGGTGTAAATATATGTTGATGGAATTAATGTTATGACACCTACTTTCTGTGAATTTAATGTCTCCAAAACAAGCTTGGGGATGTGCTTTTGTCAGAATAAGATTTCTGGTCAAAGATCCTATATTGAAAATCTCTCTGGAAATCACATCCAGAATGGGCAATTCTTCCAACATATCGAACATATCCTAATTAAAATTTCTAGTTATAAATCTACCTCTGCGCTTTGAAATAGAAGTCATTTACATAGTTTCATGGAAAAGTAATGATCATTCTTCACCATCAACACAAAACTCTTTTTAAGCAAAATTTGACCTTGATTTTCAAGTTTACATTGACGGGTATCTATTTTTTTCTGTCGGAAGACGGTCAAAAATGTAGGATGGATCAACAAAGATAATTAAGAAGTCTGTCAGAAAAATATCTCTGTATCCACCCCGCAAAGATATCAAATTTGCTCACAAGGGCTCAACTATGTATCCCAGCAGCACATCATTGTAACCAGTCATTTTCTCAAACTCTTTGACAGTCTCATATCCCCATCCATCTTGGGTAATCTCTTGCTGGTCATCTCTGTTCTCCACTGGAGAAATATCGGCCAAGTTACACCGCCAAGCCAGTGGTGGAATTCCAAAGAATTTTGGCGGGAGTGGATAAATATATTCTCGTGGGATCCACTCCGAGTTGCCATAGTCTATGTACAGAACTTTGACAGCACAGCACTTGGGAGTATCATCTGTACTAGAAGCGGTGGTGGATTGGGACTCTTCAGTATCTGAACTGGTCTCGTACCTCATCCCCAGTACCTCTACTCTGTAGAATTTCTTATCATTCCTGAAAAATAAATCCAAGTACTGTATGAATCTATCACTGGTAGGACTAATAATTTGGGAACTAGTTATTACTAGACTATAAAATTTTGGGCAAAATATCTTAATGTGGTTCACTTTAAACACACAAAAAAAGAAAAAAAATTCACAAAACTTTTATACTTTTTAAGTGGAAAAAAAAGTGTGCCAAACAGAGAAATGTACTGTCATGATATCAGTTGACTAACCTGTACAATGCACAACAAATGTCATGCTTGGCTGGTTCATCTCCCTCAAAAAACTTCATTAGCACAGGGAGATTAATCTTACTGAAATGGTCATTCAGCTCGTCCATCATCTGGTCCAACATGACTGCCCTGGGGGTCACAAGATGGACGTAGAAATGATTCGGTGATTNCGTTTGGGTACCCATTGCGTGATTATTTTACATTTCCCAACAATGTCTACACGATTAATCAAACACGTCAAAGTTGGTCTGATGTTGTCTTCCTGATCTCATTATAAAGAGAGCTCATACAAATCCTCAGCATAATGACTTATCTCCTGTGTGCACAATTCCAAATGAGTCAAGACTGAAACATTATTTGCAGTTGAAATAAAACATTGCACAATAGCGCAGATTTCACTCGTGACTTTTCTTTTAGGATCTTCCACTAGTAATCACCTAATTGAACATCAAGACAAATAAAACTATAACAGAAATGATATTTTCTAATCAGAAGTGAAGATCCTTAAAATTTTCAGACAATGTGACATATTCACAGAGAAAACACTATACAGAACACATTTACTCATGAATTTGCTGACAGCCACTGCAACCTTTTGAAAATTACTTTATTGGTAACAGTGCCTTTGGTAGTTTTCAACTTAAATACCATCAACTGTAAGATGAAACTGCCATTGTCAACGCTATTTCCTTGAATAACATCTAAAATACACATTGTCAAATACATCCGAGACGAATCACTAATTGGAAACATTAAAGAAAGATCATCCTGTGAATTTACCATCAAATACATCACCAAGTCAGATAATTAGTATCACTTTGTATGCAAAAGTGATACACATTACAGGGAATAACTGATTAATGACGTAAATAGAGAAGGCTCGTGCAATGAGTCTGCATTACTTTACTCCATTTATCTCAACGGGTAAGATGATAAATGCTGCGGTATATGCTTAAATCACCTTCATTACACAACAAATTAACATGTAAATACCTTTCTCAATAACATTTCATTTAGAAGATGCTGTTAGAATTCCGTAATAAACTAATTACTGTTTCAGAAAAGGTGTCTTTATAATAAAACATTTTGATTAAACTGCCAACATACAAGAACAAGAGTAAACAATAAGAAAAATGTCTACTCTTCTTTTCTATTTAAGGAAAACCCAATAAAAGAAAGCTAAAGAAAACACAAAATACAATATAGCAATCTTGATGCAAGAAATCATTTACCATATTCAAGTCTACCGCACAGTCTGAGATATAGATTTAGGAAACCGTGCAAGGCAAAAAAAATAGTCACTTACCTAATATGATCGTAGATGGTGAGACATCTGCCCGAGTCTTATAGATATTGCTGTAGAGTCTGGTAATATCAGGGGAGTCAAATCTACTCATCTCCTGTCCTCACATAAGGCCCGATTTTCTCGTCTCGGTTGCATTTGATTATTGAATTGCCATGTGCCATGGGGTTATTACAAAACCAGCTGGGTCAATACTATTAAGATGTTGATTCAATGTCAATTGTAATGTGCAATATAACTGAATCATTAACAATAACGTTTGCATTGTTAAAAAACTCATATTCTGGGCACTTTATTTTTCTTTGGTTGTCCATTCGATATATTAGGTCAGAAGGTTGGATTTTCCCATTTTAAAGCAGAACTGACTGACTAGCAACAAATTATTCAGACAAATTACTTCTGAATCAATATAAATTTTCAGCTAGGCAAATAGACCAATGTCAAAAGAAAGAGTTCGGAACCAATGAAAATTTTGAAATAAAATCCTTCCATCTTGTATGCTGGATTTTAAACCCATACACAGAAAAATGTCTTCATAGATAACTTTTCCAAGAAATTTTGGAGCAGGTGAAAATAAAAAGGACCAGCAGCAATCTGTGGTTGCCAGTCACCTATTACGTAACTTTGACTGCGGGAGTCAGATTTTCATGTTACACCGGTATGAAATACCAGCAAAGGACTAGTAGTTCTTCCAGAGTTTTCAAAATGTCTGATACACATGCACACATGTATTTACATATTCACTCAGACATTTACATACACATTTACACATGCACATGCACACTCTTACCGTGTCCAGTGGTGGCTACCCCAGGGTCATCTGGATCTATGGCATACGTGTTTCTATTGGATAAATGATCCTCCACCATGGGGTCCCAGTTCTGCAGTTCTGCTGTGGGGCTCTCACTCCTCTTTTCCAAGGGGGCCAAAGCATTATTATTTTCTCCAGGGTTTACACTTTGCTCTGATTCCATCAAGAGATCCTCTGCTTTTTGTGCTTGTTCTTTGCCTGTAAAAACAATGTATTAAATTTATTAACAATGTATTATGTTCATTAATTTTTTTTAAAGCTTTTTTGGTGCAACAGAAAAAAAAATTTGTGATTTGCCATACTCAAAAGTAATGTCTCTGACCTGAAGAAACCTTATACACTATACTGAAAATTTCTCACCAAAAGCGACACACTCCATTTCATTAACCATTTAACACAGTCCATATACTGTTTTTAAAATTATATCTTTCTCACACATGCACATTCATATGTACAAGATCATTGTTCCCATAATAAAATGTTACCTCTTAAACATTGTAACGCCTAACAAAATGTCGTTTTACATTTTGTAACACAACATTATAGTCCATATCAACAGCTTACATAATACTGCATGACTGTCATATATCAATACCAAACATATATATATTATGTTATGTGTTTTACAGTTTCAAATTAAATACAACCTGGTGTGTTTTGTTTTGTTTTGTATACATATTATACCAAACCAAAATGTTTAATGTAAAATGCTGAGGAACCAAAAACTTATCTTATGTGCTACACGCTGTCATCCCATGGCCAAAGTAAACATTCACTATCACACCAAACACAATGCTGACATAGACTATCACATCAAACACAATAATGACAAAGACTATCACACCAAACACAATGCTGACATAGACTATCACATCAAACACAATGCTGACATAGACTATCACACCAAACACAATGTTGACATACACTGTCACACCAAACACAATCTTTACATACACTGTCACACCAAACACAATGTTGACATACGCTGTCACACCAAACACAATGTTGACATATACTGTCACATCAAACACAATAATGACATACACTGTCAAACATAATGCTGCCTCACTGACATATCTAACACAATCTTTATCCATACTAACCAAAGACTTCAGACTTGGCCAGTCCTCTTCTCACTAGTTCCCCATTAACCCAGACATCACTTGGTCCACTTGAGTTCAACAGTATCAAGTGTAAGGACTGCTTGCTGCTTGTGGGGCTAAAAATATTAAGTCATTGGTTTTCTTGAGTCAAATCTTACTGCTGAAATATTTCAAACATTGTCAATGCATATAAGGTGTAAATATATGTTGATGGAATTAATGTTATGACACCTACTTTCTGTGAATTTAATGTCCCCAAAACAAGCTTGGGGATGTGCTTTTGTCAGAATAAGATTTCTGGTCAAAGATCCTATATTGAAAATCTCTCTGGAAATCACATCCAGAATGGGCAATTCTTCGAACACATCGAACATGTCCTAATTAAAATTTCTAGTTATAAATCTACCTCTGCGCTTTGAAATAGAAGTCATTTACATAGTTTCATGGAAAAGAAATGATCATTCTTCACCATCAACACAAAACTCTTTTTAAGCAAAATTTGATCTTGATTTTCAAGTTTACATTGACGGGTATCTATTTTTTTCTGTCGGAAGACGGTCAAAAATGTAGGATGGATCAACAAAGATAATTAAGAAGTGTGTCAGAAAAATATCTCTGTATCCACCCCGCAAAGATATCAAATTTGCTCACAAGGGCTCAACTATGTATCCCAGCAGCACATCATTGTAACCAGTCATTTTCTCAAACTCTTTGACAGTCTCATATCCCCATCCATCTTGGGTAATCTCTTGCTGGTCATCTCTGTTCTCCACTGGAGAAATATCGGCCAGGTTACACCGCCAAGCCAGTGGTGGAATTCCAAAGAATTTTGGCGGGAGTGGATAAATATATTCTCGTGGGGTCCACTCCGAGTTGCCATAGTCTATGTACAGAACTTTGACAGCACAGCACTTGGGAGTATCATCTGTACTAGAAGCGGTGGTAGATTGGGACTCTTCAGTATCTGAACTGGTCTCGTACCTCATCCCCAGTACTTCTACTCTGTAGAATTTCTTATCATTCCTGAAAAATAAATCCAAGTACTGTATGAATCTATCACTGGTGGGACTAATAATTTGGGAACTAGTTATTACTAGACTATAAAATTTTGGGCAAAATATCTTAATGTGGTTCACTTTTAACACACAAAAAAAGAAAAAAAATTCACAAAACTTTTATACTTTTTAAGTGGAAAAAAAAGTGTGCCAAACAGAGAAATGTACTGTCATGATGTCAGTTGACTAACCTGTACAATGCACAACAAATGTCATGCTTGGCTGGTTCATCTCCCTCAAAAAACTTCATTAGAACAGGGAGATTAATCTTACTGAAATGGTCATTCAGCTCGTCCATCATCTGGTCCAACATGACTGACCTGGGGGTCACAAGATGGACGTAGAAATGATTTGGTGACTCAATGTGCGACATCATCATCTGCAGGCAACCGTCCTCTGGGATGTCCAGTTGCTGGTCAGGCAGCACCCCTTTGTTAGACTTTGGACTCTTTAAGAAAGTTGGCGTTGTAGCACGAGGAGTGGAAGACCCAGGGCCAGATGGAGTTCTAGAACACGACTGAGCAAGTGTCATGGGCACTGCTGCTGCAGAATGTTGACCAAATGTTCCTGTCCTGTCTTGAGGTGGAGTCTGTGGCTCCATCTGTGTGGAACATGACTGTTTCACTGGGGTGGTCTGAGATCTGGATTCCCCCTGATTGGGTAAACTATCATAAGATGTCTCCGTTTTGGAAAGGTTGCTGCTTGCAGAGTTCTTTTCTTTCGAGGAAAGGTCCTTCAACAATAGTGATAAATCATCAGCAACTTTTGATGTATCTTTATTAGGGGTTATTACTGTTAAAGGGGATCTTGCAGTTTTCTTTTTCTGTCCATCAGCTTTTTCTGCCATGACAGACCCTTCAGCTATTTTTTTGTTTGCTGGCTCTGAAAAATGCTCTACTTCACAATCTTCCCCCAGGCCTCCAGTTGCAGTGCCAAGTTTTGAGGAATCATCCTCTGTGTCATTTTCTGACAGCCAACTTTGAAATTCTTGCTGAAACTCACAGCTCTTTGGCAGCCTTTCTGGAAACCCCAAACTCTTGAGCCTTTGCTGAGGTGTAATGATTTTTTCTGCCCCCACTGATTTAACTGAAGAGTCAGGTACATCTGAGAATTCTCTTTCCTGATCCTTTCTTGGTGTCATTACAAATCTATCTTCTTGCAAATTGGGATTGGACTCCTGAGAGGCATTGGTGATCTGTCCCAATTCAAGATCAGCTGCATTGGCATTGGCATTTCTAGAGGCTTCAATCTCCTTGTCAAGTATTTCATCAAAAGATAAATCAGCAATCTCATTGGCAAGATCATCATCGTTATACTCAAGTTGAGGTTGCACAATTTTCTCCCCGATGGGTTGCACTTTGGTTTGACCTGAAGGCTCTGTAGAAGGAATTTCATTGGCTCCATTTTCCACTTTGTCAGTTTCTGTCTCAACCTGCACAGCAATTGGCTTCTTGTCTACAACTAGGCCTAAATCAGATGTGGAGGTTCTTGTGTTGGTGTCAGCCTTTCTTGCTGTGTTGGCTTCACTACTTTCAGACTCTGTATTTCTGTCACCAGACTTTGTATTTCTGTTACCAGCTGCAGACTCTATATTTCTGTCACCACTTGTGGGCCCTGTATTTCTGTCACCACTTGGGGGCTCTGTATTTCTGTCATCACATGCGGGCTCTGTATTTCTGTCACCACTTGCGGGCTCTGTTATTTTGTCATCACCTGCCACTTCTGTATTTCCGTCACCACCTGCAGACTCTGTATTTCTGTCACCACTTGCAGACTCTGTATTTCTGTCACTTTTTTCACTCATTACTTTCCTGTCACCTTTTGAGTCTGAACTAAATTCACCACATTTACGTCCAAGTTCTGCACCTCCAACTTGGTTCAGTTCTTTTGACCCAGCACCAGAGGTCACTGCATTTGGCACTACAATTTCTGCTAAGGAAACCATTCCATCTGGTTTCTCTTGAGTGTCGTCTGCACAAAACTGTAAATTGCTGCCCTCTGGTGGCACTAACACAGACAACTGTGAGGGAGCACCTTCTTCTGCTGGAGAGTGAAGAGGTGACTTAGGAAAGATATAAGAAGCAATCTCAGCATTGGACATCATTTTGGCAGCGTTATACTTTCTCATCAAGTCTCCGACACTCTCCATGATGCTTGTGATGGGTCCACTGACCATGCCCCCTGTGGCTGCAGTGACCGGTAGTGGTTGACCAGGGAAGTGGAGCTCCAGGAATAAAAGAGGACAGTCTGGCTCTTTGGATATGGAGGCATGCAGGATCCTGTTCTCCACCAGGCGGAGAAATATCAGGTTGTACTCTGAAGACCATACACCACTGCCATCTGGTGGCGCAACCTAAGACAATGAGAGAACAAAATTACATGAAAAAAAAAAACAAAATTCAATCTGTGGCTTGCTTAGAGTACATAAACCATGCACAGTCACAACTAACACATCAAGTGCCTGGTTTCATTAATTTTTTTTGTATTATTGACAGCACCTATGTAACAAATACTTATTATTGATTTGCAAGCACTCTATTTTATAGTTAATACACAGCAATAAATCATACATTTTGAGGTGTTCGTAATAATTTGTTCTATCAATTACATAACTATACATCATACTTAGGTCAAAAGAAACTAGGTATCGTGTGCAAAACATATCAGACATATCTAACAAAACAAATGCAATGTCACATGTGACCCTGTTTCCACTAGCTCTTATTAATACTGTAGATTGTTACATTTAAAATCTAAGGCAATAACAACTAATAGTAACAAAATACTTTGTTACGTCAAACAAGGTGCTCCACTCTGTGACACTAAACACAATGTCAAACCTTACACAGTCACATCTAGCACAATGTCAAACCTTACACAGTCACACCTAACACAATGTCAAATCTTACACAGTCACACCTAACACAGTGTCAAACCTTACACAGTCACACCTAGTACAATGTCAAACCAAACATTACACTTAACACACTGTCACACCTAACACAACATCAATCCAATTTGACACCAAGCACCCAAAATCACAATTTATAAATATACATAATCACACAACACATTGTATCGATCACAGTGAATCCAGCTACCTGTGAGAGAGCACAATAGAAAGCTTGGGTTGGAAGTTGGGCAAAGTCAGGTGCCAGGTGGCGTACTCTGTCCAATGGCAAGCGCTCTCTGTTCCCATAATCCACATAGACGACATCAACTTCGCCTTGGCTACAACCATCTTCTGGCCTGGCATCTACAAATACAACAAATAACTATTAATTTTTAATGTGATTAATGCCCATCTCTTTTAAAAGCACACATTAATCCCCATCTCTTGTAACAGCATATATTCATGCTGATCTCTTTTAAGAGAATACCTTAATGACTGTCTTTTTTAAAGAAATAGTACATTTACATCCATTTCTTGGAAGAAAATACATTAATGCCCAACTCTTTTAAGAGAATACATTAATGCCCGTGGCTTGAAAGAGAATACATACCCCAGACTTCCATGACTTTGGCTCTATACCAGCTGTTGTTATGATTGTATTTGGCACTCACAAAACTGCCCATTGTAGGCAAACTTTGCAGCTTATATTCTTCATGTCCCTTTTCATAGAAGACCCTAAATTGATTTTTAAATTACTTTGAATCCAATTACCACTTTATATTTTTTTACTGATATTAAGACAAAAAAAAAAAAAAAACATCTGGCACATTCCTCTATCTATTCTTCAGCATCAGAATGTGCTGAATGTATGAATATCGAAGAATGCAATTCAAAAATAAATTTTTTTCCGAAAATTAATTTTAAATAATCTGTTACAAATCTTGGTCAACTAGGTTAAACAACAGGCTAAAGAACTTTTTAAAATCTCTTAGCAGACCCATAGGAACACAATCACAAGAACACCTACCACATTCTGGTCTCCAGTTCCTCTGCCTCAGAGAGAGCTGGCTGTGCCCAGAAAAACCAGGGACTTGTGACTTCTGTGATAATAACATCTAGCGAGCAGCCTTCCACAAATGACATGGTAGGAATAATGCACTGACCCAATGGCTTTGCTAACTGAAGTGAAGACTGTTCAAATCAAAATTACTTTACACTTATTAAAATGTATTTACATCATATATGTCCACGTATGAATCAGTATGATTGAAAAATAGGCATAAATAGAGTAAATGACCCATTGCAATATTAATGAGCTTCACATAAGAAAAAACCTAAGCACTTATGAAGAAAATGCCCAGATAAAAGTTACCAAAGTAGCTTTAAATGCAACATACTAAAAATTTACCTTTGATGTAGCACTAGAACCTGCACCTGTACTGGTAGACCTACTGTCTGTGTCACCTACTACATCCTTTTTACTTTTACTTCTTTTCTTCTTCAGTGTTTTCCCTGCTGCTTTCTTTCTTTGTGAGCCCTCCTTTGTATTTTTTGTTATATTTGAGAGAGAAGTTCTGCTGGTATCAGATGCCTCTGAGGGAGCTTTAAGACCAAGCAGTCCATCTGAGTTTGTAGGTGGGATGAAGGATGCTGAAATATTGGCTACAAAACTTTCTTCCTTTCCACTAGTGGCTGATGTAACAGAGTTTGTGTTTTGTTCACTGACAATCTGTGACAGAACAGTAGGTGCACTATAGGTGACAGCACTATCTAGTGGTACTAGACCTGGTGGTGCACTGTAGGTGGAAGCACTATCCAGTGGTACCAGACCTGGTGGTGTACTGTAGGTGACAGCACTAGTTTGTAGTGGTTGAGAAGAGTTCAAGATAGCAGCACCTTCCAAATGTTGATCATGACAGGCTCCCTTACTGCTGGAGATTTCAGTTTCAAAAGCAGGGTTCTGATAAACAGACTCTGGGTTTTCTTCTGCAAATATTGTTGAAAAAATATAATATTCAGAACAGAATGTCATTAAAACATTAACATTTCTATGATGAATAAGTTTTACTCGGCCATACACAATAATTCAAATTATACTTTAAATTACACTTTTTTTCAAAACACACAAAAAGAAGACATATCCACACATGAACTGTGCATTCCCCATGTATAAGATGCAACATCTACCTCATCTACCTGTAAGAGTAAAACCTGATTTACTTTGAACATCCAGGAAAATCATGAAGTTTAAGTTTGATAAAACATACAGTACAAATGTATGGTCACAGCTGAAAAACCAGGACAATAGGGTCATCAACAATACCACCTATAGTTTTAACTATAAAAAGCCCAATGGATAAATTCATGAGCAAAACATTCATAAAGGTTTAATTTCTTACCTTGTTCATCAAGGGTCATTGATGCAAGGAACAGAGCATTTCTGCACTTTTCCATTTTCTGCATGACAGAGGCATACTTCTGCAAGAATTGTGACTTGTCTTGGACTTCCAGCAGAGCCCGTCCCTAGGATGACAAAAAAACCCTCTAGATATGTTCAACTTAAGCTGACCTAGACTTCACAGTGATTATTCTGATGTGGTTTTCAATGAAAAATAATAATTCAATCAAGTACACGTCAACGACATCTTAGACCGAAAAAAGACTTAACTGGTGTGTCCAAATGACCAGTTTTCTTAGCGACAGTTTAGAGTGTGTTTTATCAACTTAGTTTATACGAACTAACTTTATTCCCACTGCATTCAGTGATAGTCCGGGGCTTCCCATGGGAGTTAGTTTCTGTGTATGCATGGGGGTGGGGTGTCTGAGATTAAGTTGTTCTCTGAAATGACTTTATGTAAAGTATGGCTCAAAAATTTGCTTTGCCTTAGATTATTCTGTTTTAAATAAAACAAAACAGAAATAATAATAATAATACTTATGGTATTGATGAATGACCTTACATTTCTGCATACAGGCCCTGTAAGGTTTTCAATACAGTTCACTAGATTCTTCTGCAGGTCCTCTATCTCACCAAGTCTCTCCATAACCTTCTTCTTTCCATCTTCCCACATTTTATTTTTTCGGGACATCTTTGTCTGCAAAGATTAAAATAGGGGAAAAACTATCAACAACTAAGTCTAAAGACACAAGAATTTTAATAATTTGTATCAATTAGTTTTTTTTTCTTTCGATCTGACTAATAACCCCTTACAGCCAATGCAATCATATACTACAAAGGGTGCAAAATAAAAACCCATCGTTGGCAATTTTGGAATTTTGAAACATTAACACTGCCTGTAGTACATGTTTAATTTCCAACAAATTTGGCGAGATATAATTCAGCATTTTAGAGCGGTATATAAAGAGGCTAAAGCTATAATATAAATAAAAAGAGCTTCACTTAGTGGTGTTTCTTTCTGTGCAAATTCTACTCACCAGCTATTGCTGAAACGACTAAATTTTTTAGCGTTTTTTCTGTCAACACCTAACCACACGTGTGAATTTCGCGGCGTTATCTTTCTGAAGATGGCGCTGCTATGTTTATATGCAAGAAGCGCTTTCAGGTAAAATTAATTGCCATGTGAACAATAAGCAAGTCTGTTATTTCTGCTCAACTTAAATAGATATAAGATCAATATTTTTTCTAGGTCTCAGGGTTGAAATTAAGTTATCAAAAGACACTGGGGGAGCAAGTTATACGCTACTTTCGATATATTGTTCCTTTGCCAGCAGTATTGCCCTCTATCGGAACATTTACGATAGAAGTTATCCGTCCAGGTGAAATCAACGTGACAAGGCTGGTGCCTTCACAGGCGGCCAAGGTGGCGTGGGTGTGCAGTTCTGGTGAACAGGTGAGGGTTCAAAATGTTCTCTGTTTGATTTGCAGCGTCCAGGTTAGCCTGAAGTGCATTCAGGCATGCTAGTAATTGTTAGATAACACATTTTTATCGACATTAATATTGCAAGTTGGTTCAATTAAGGTACATCTCTTGAAGTTGAACTTGAGTTGTACTCAACTCTGGCAAAGCAGTCGTCAGTGGTTGAGGTTTCCAATTGGCTTTGACGTATGAATCCTTTGTTGTACATTGAATTAATCACCCTGTATCTTAGATAGTCTTAATCTTACACATCGTCCTATTTGTACCCTTGAAAGAAAAAAAAAGTGAAAATAATTTCATTAGATCTCAGTTTTTAGTAAAGACAGCTTTCATTAATGATAGATATCTAAACATTTTGATTTACCTGTTGACAGTTTGATTTGTTCATTCTGACCGACTTGGTAACAACTGAGTTTAAGGTAAACAGTACAGGTAGGTGAACAGGTACTATAATTACCCCACAGTCTTTGTGATGACTTAATTGATAGCCCCCCCCCCTCCTGCCCCTGAGTAAAATCAATGTGGCAAGAATGAACAGAGATGGGTGAGCATTCATACTGCCCCATGTATATACACGCTGTAGGGCACTATCTTGATTGGTCACTAAAAGAGTGTTTACAGTAGTAAAATCAGGTTAATGCCAGGTTGATAAACCTCAAAACCACATAGAAAGTCATTAGACTACCATACTAGTCTACCATAACACATAAAAAAGTTTGATTTCAGTTTAAAAGCATTTAAAGAATGTTGTAAAATTCCCATAGATTCCCATTAATTTTCTTTTCTTACTACAGTCCCTGCTACCCTTCATAGGTACCAGTATTTCACTATATAGCTGTGTACAGTTTGTACATGTTCATTTTTGTAAACTGAGACTTTTTGCCCAACAATAAACATTCACACAGCTGGCCTTTGATATTGGTACAGTGAAAGGCCCAGCCCTTCCCTTTTGTTAACCCAGATGATACCCTCTATGCCTGGATGCACTGCTCTTGCAATACAAAACTTGTTGGAAGTGTCAAGTTAGCATTACTAGGTAAGTGCCATTGACATACCTGATATGCACACAATACATACATATATTATACTAGTTATGTAAAGCTTGGCAGGCAGCAGGGCCATTCAAAAAGTGCCACAGAGCAAGGATGTTAATACTGCTGAATAGCCTGTACATGTTAAACTAGGTGCAGTTAAAATTTTTATTTAGCATGGTTGCGAGATGAATTAGTAAGTCTATGTAAAGACAAGATTATTATCATTTTTGTTGTTGTTGTTATGTTACACCAAGATTAAAAGGTTGGTTTTGTTGCTAGAATGCTGTGTATATAAAATGCATGGAGGACTAGACTGCTTGACTTCTATTTCCATTATCTTTTCATTTTCAGATTTATATTTATAATATATAATTAATAATATGTAATTTATAATTATACTTTGTACTCTTTTAATATTTTTTTCCAACCAAAATCAACTGCATTATCTTATACCGAACTTATTGTTTATGAGGAATGTCTTTTTTGTTAGTGTATTAAGAGCTAAACACTAAGAAAAAAAAAAAACATAAAATTTGTGAAATTCTTTTTTATCTACAAATTTTCTCATGGTCATGCAGTTTGACAAACTAATATTATTTGATTACTTACACTTGTTTATTTAATCAAAATGTTTCCTTGCTACTATATTAACCCATGAGTTGCTTTATTTTCTATATATTTTGGGGATGATGCTTATCATGGTATTATTGGTTCCACTATTTTTTAAAATGTATTGATTATAACTAGAAAAGCACTTGGAGAGGACAACCTCCACAAAGACCAGTAATTAACTAATAATTAGCCATTAATCAATAAATTCATCACCAAAATCTAATCATTTCTTCCTTTGGCTATTTGTGACCTTTCCTGAAAATGTCATCAAAAGCTATTCATTACATCAATATATTTTATGAAGCAATGCACCAACCTTGTTTACAGAGAGTTGCCACTAGTTAAAGGGATAACAACCTTTCGTAAGATATCCATATTTCACAACAAATATATTGTAAATAACTCATAGAAATACAGTAAATTCTATTTTGCCCCCAAAACTGTAGTTAACATAATTATTTTGGAATTTGTACTTGCCATCTCATCACGTGACCTCCATAGATGGCTATACTATGTAATAATCTCTTAAGAGATTATTACGAAAAAAACAAACTTTTTAGAAAAAAAAAAACCAGGGACTTATTTTGAATGTGGGAATGGATTCATTTACAATTGGTAAGTATGGGGAAATTGTCCTTTACCCCATTTTTTTGGCCAAAATGCAGTTGTGCAGTTGTTATCCCTTTAACCAACTTACATAAATATCTGTTCTTGATTGGCCTTATCAGCAAATGTGTACTAGTAATAGTGTAAGCATTTGTTAAGTTATGAAATGATTGTAGGCTGTTTCTTATTATGATCATACCAGAACATAAGAAGTACCAGCATGAGAAAACTGTGATCATGAATTATTTAGATATGAGATACATTTGCCTTATCAGAAATTATACTGTGCCTTTGTAGAGTTTTTGGGTATAATGGTTTGACAAAATGCAAACACCACAAGTGAAAAATTAGTCCACAGGTTTATTTGGACATTCCTTTTTGGCTTCTGCATTTATGTGTGAAGATACAAGCTGATTATGTATAAATTGTCTCATGAATACGAAGGTGCTTAACTCAAGACATTATTACTAAATTATTACTGTATATATATATGATGCAGGAATATTGAATGGTCACATTAATATTGCAGTTGATTTTATATACTCATTTAGGCCAATAGAGGAAGTATAATTGCGGTAATGGACATTGGTGTATTTCATTTTAGGGATGAACTTGGCCCACTCAACTATGTAGAGTCATTTTGCGGTCATGCTTGGACATAAAACTTACAACCATGCTCATCAAGCTGCGACAGAGGGAGGTTACCCTGTGCGCAGGAGGCCTGTTTTTGGCAGCGTTGATTTTCGTGCCTTTTTTGTCTGTGTGGAAACGGCCAGATAAAAATCATGGAGAATATCAGAGATCATTCCAGGGTTACTCTGTGTGGCCAGATTATAGAAATAATCCAAGCAGGTCGCATGTAAGTATTGGAGAAAAAAAAAAGGATCAATGAGACAGCTTATGATTTGGTCATTTTAACTCGTCTCATCCAGCAAGAGTGTTAGTACCCTCTGCCAAGAAACTTTCTAATTTTCACATATTTTGTCAATATTAATTATAGAGACTAAAAATCACCTTGGATTTTAGGTTTATGTGGGGATTAGTTGTGACACTTCAAAATTTTGCTCTACTCAGGTTTTGATATATGTGTTTCAAATGATGTCCGTGTCGACCTATTTACAAATGCACTAAAATAAAAAAGTACCTCTTTTAAATGACATTAACAAGAAATGCTATAGTACGCTTTTACTTTTAGAAAGGATGGAAAAGCTAACCTGAAGTTAGTAATTTCTGCCACTTGATGAAATAATAGTTAGTGAGGGGAAAAAGCATTTATTGGCTAAACCAGAAATTAATGTGGCTGTATATCACTATGCTTAAAAGAAGGACAGAAAATTATACTTGTTTTATTGAAAAACATGTAAATTTTATTGTTGCGTAAAACCAAAATTGTAACACACTTGTGTCACCAGCAGGATCATTCTACATTAATATGACTGTTTTCTATGCTGTATAAAATACTAAACTTATAAATATGTATACATTGGGTAATAAGCTATACTATACACATGTAAAGTATGATGCAGCAGAGTTTTATAATAAAAAAAGGGAGAAGTGCCCTTTTGTTTCCCTGAAGCCATTTTCATTATTTATTAAGTTTTTCAAGAATATGGCAGAATGGTTCATAAGTGAAAACATATGAACTAGTAGATCTTTAAGTCTATCTGTGATACTGTTTTTACTTACAGCACTGGTTTAAAAAGACCTGTTTCTACACTGAATATCAACAGATGGAGATAGGCATATTGGCTGATGTTCTGAAACAGTGGGAAAATGCACAAGACAGCCAATGCAGGTATGCATAGATCTTTACAAATTGTTGCTATTAATATTATTCTTGTTCTTCTTGAGTATGTTGCTGGTGTTATTATAATTATTGTAAAATCAAATTTCTTCAATATATAATTAACTGTAAACAAACATTTCATAATGGTGATTTCACAGTAAAATTTTATGAAGGTTTTTCTTACCAAACTGTTAGTACTAGTAATCTCTTACTATATACAATATACAGTAAAACTTGTATTTTTATTATTATTATTTATTTATTTATTTATTTTTTTTGTAATTTCCATGTAGAAAATGCTCATTTGTACATAGTAACAATGCAGCTTTGTTGACTGAAACGGCTATAAATTTCATTTCATGACTTATCTGCAGCTGTATAAATAACCTTTGTATGTTCATTTCTCCAGCTGATTCCTTGCACTTTTATAATATTAAAAGTAAATAACTGAAAGATTCTGTAAATGCCTTTCAAACATCATTCAGGACCCTAGCAGTGAACAAGTAATGCATGAATTCAAGTTACTTTTGTTATCTATTGCCTGATACTGCTGGTATTTGAGGCTGCTTCAGTTGGCCTCTTTTCCCAGGCTTGATAATACTTTGTTTGTTTTCACGATCTAGATTATGGATAGGCAAAGCAGACAGAGGTACCAGTATCATGTCATCTGTCGGCATCTGTGTTGGGCATATAAAATAATGAAGATAATGAACTCACAAGTTTGACTTACACATTGTTTTAAAAGCTAGAATCACAGGCCCGGCCAATAAAAGCATGTTTTTATGAACATTTCAGTTCAGATCTCCCATTTATTGCAATGGCTTAATTACTTGATTTTGTGGTCTGGCTCAATGTCTGTACCCAGTATGTGCTGTTTTTTTATTTTCAGAGAACTTTTTAGGAAGTTCAATTTTGTGTTTTCTGTAAGAGAAACACCTACCAATGTCATCATTCCTGCGAGCTTTGAAGACAAGATTAACAAATGGCTTGGGAACAAAAAAGATGCATTTAAAGAGGTGACACATCAAGTGAGTACAAGCTTAAAAAGACCGTTAATTTACAGTTCTTCTCTTATAGCCTCATAAGAAAAAAGGGAAAAAACCCTAGAAAAAAGATTTTGTTTAAATTCAAACAGCCATGATGCTTCAGGTACTATATTTGTTACCATGATCCTTCAGGTACAATATTTAATGAGGCAAACTTCCTCCACCTTATAAAGGGTGGTAGGGTGAACGGGTAATTGAAGTTACTACCATGGGTCAAATTTTATCACGAAAATCTGAGGAATGGGGGGGAGCAAATTCCAGACATGGGGGGAAATTTTTAGACAGTTATCTGCCACAACCAAACTGGTCATCCATGTATGCTTTTCGTCTAGACTCTTTACTCTCTATTATATCTATAATCTCTGTGTTAACGGTCATTACTTTTTCTGCACTCTATGTGCTACAGGTCATCACATCAGTTTTTAATGAACTGACATCAGAACACACCATCTACAACCCACTGCGAGCCAAAAGACCCATGACCAAGACTTCCCATCAGGATAGACAATAGTAAGTTACCGTGGTCATGAGGATAGGCAATAGTAAGTTACCGTGTTCATGAGGAAAGGCAATAGTAATTACCATGGTCATCAGGATAGACAATAGTAAGTTACCATGTTCATGAGGATAGGCAATAGTAAGTTCACATGATGAGCAGCACCTTCTAAAACAGACACTTTTAAGTGAATAGTGGTATATAAGAGATAAAATGGAGTATAAGGGCACATTCCCATAGATTCGAGATCAATCTATCCCCGTGGGGAGTCTCACTAGATTACTGTCAGATAATCCGGTTTAAATGTCCGTCCCGCCTTCTACAAGCTGTAAGGGGGTAATTAACTTTCATGCCCGCTCGGCTGACAGCTATTTAGTGTTAACCCCCAGGGAGTTAGGTCGATCTAGTTGGGGTTTAAGAGTTAATGGACATATGAAATTAAAGATCTCTATCATACCTACTTTAATAGTTGGGAAAAATCATTATGATAAGTGAGCCTAGAGAGTATCTGTTGATTGACCATTTATTGCTGATACTTCCTCTAAATTTAGAATAATTACTGGGGAAACATGAGGGAACATTGCACTTGTGTCTAGGTGCTTTTTTGATGTATATATCAATACAATCAGTTTTTTTTTTAAAATATAGATTAACCCTTATATCAATTGTTCTCAATTATCTCAGTGTATCTACATCTTATTCAAACATTTTCATCTTCATTTAAAGAAAATATACAAACAGAAAAAAAAGCATTCTTGTTTTGGTTTGCAGAGTCATTGAAAAGCACAAAGTTTGTCCTATTTCCCTCTTACTATGTAAACCAAATCCAGTTCTTATCAGAAATCCAGCTAATGCCCATGTTATTTTACATTACTTCTTCCACAAGTTAGCAGCTTGCTCGGTGGAGAATCTGTGACTGAGTTTATTAGACCGGTTTCTTATATTAAACTAATCATAATGAGATCACCTGTCAGTAGGGAATGGGAAGTCATGATACAGTTTGACTGGAAACATGATGTACAAAGTATATTAGAAAGTGTTATTGGTTTTGAAATAGCAGACATACTGGTACGTGTTGTATTGGAAGTGCATATTTTAATTACCTGGCATTTATCTCTCCACTCCCATGTCTCAGCACAAATAAAATTATAAGACCTGCTGTTTCCAGTGAAGATGGGATGACCCAGCTCAGTACAGATCAGTCTCATATTACAGGTAGATAGGATATTACAATTTGTAATTATTAGAAGCCTGTAAATCTATCTACCAGTATTGTCCCTCCATCCACCGTTGTAATTATGGGGAGTAATTTAATTATAGATTGACTAAATTCTGTGGATAGAAAATAGACTATCTGTTGAGCAGATATAAGGTAAGGTGGACTTACCTTCACTGGAAACACGACTAGTGAAAAATGCTGATGGTTATTTATAATCTTTATCACCCTAAAGTAGTTTGCCTGCTTCTTAAGGGCAGGTGGAAATTGATTATTTATGGTATTTTCAAATCAATCTAGTGAATCAGATAAATTCTGATGATGTTAAGCAAATGATAAATAATGCTTGGCTAAAGATTTCAGAACAAATTAAAATAGAATGGAAGCTTACTCATTTGACCTGAGAATTAACTGTGGATTTTTTGTGGTGTATTAGGCGACCAATGAAATGAGTAAAGAAGTTCATCTTTCTTTGCATTTCTGGTAGTCATTTATTGACTCCAATTCTTCTTTTTCTTAAATACTAGATTAGAGTCTTTAGGCATTCATGTTTGTTAACAATTTTTTAGATGTGAAATAAAGGATCTATTTACCTTTACTGTTTCATAATTAATAATGTTCTAATAATTTGATATTTTATGTCAGCCTCAATGTATCAGTGTTTTATTTACAGTGTAGAAGACATAACCAAGGAATCTGCCCAGAATTGTGACTTCTGTGAAGGATCTTATAAAAGGTTTGTTCTCTGATAAATTATGTACAGAACGGCATCATCCATCTTTTCATAACTTGAAATAAATATCTAATGACTGTACTATTTTTTAGATTGAAATGAATATTGTACACTTTGTATAGTTTACTACATATTACTGTAAATGGGAGAAAGATATACGGTATGATAAATAAATAAATAAATAAATCCACAGTTAATGCAATCACCAAAAGATCAAGCATCTGGGAGCTAGCAAGTCCCATTATATAAGAGGGCATCTGTCAAGGTTCCACACACAGCAAAGCCACCTAACACACCTAACTGATTATACGTAAAACTAGGCCAGATATAAGGACCGGCTCTTAATCTGAATTTATCTGAATTTAGCCAGATTTTGTGATTGTATTTGTTTGTGATAATGATAAGGTTGGGTTACACCACTAAATTGCACAGTGCCATGTTTTGTCAGTTTTGTATCTGCAATCACACGACTTTGGAATAGGTATATCTCTGACATACTGTATAACCATACAGTAAAAAAATATCGTAATTGGTAAATTTCTAACATACTTGTAACCATACAGTAAAAAAAGGATTGTCACTGTGCTGTTTAATAATTTACCCTTCCAGCTGCCACAAAGTCACACAATTAAAGGGATAATAACTCTTCATATGAGGTCTATATTTCACAATAAAAACATTGTGAATAACTCATATAAATATAATATATTCTGTTTTACGACAAAAACAGCAGTTATAGCTATTATTCTGATATCTGAGCTTGTCTTCAGACTACGTGACCTCCATTGATGGCTATACTCTGTTATAATCTCTTAAGAGATTTTAACAAAAAACCAAACTTTTTAGAAAAAAAACAGGGACTAACTTTGAATGTAAAAATGGATTCATTAACTATTGGTAAGTATGGGAAAATTGTTGTTTACTCCAGGAAAATTCATTTTTTGGCCAAAACGAAGAGTTATTATCCCTTTAACTAGTGAAATGTATCTTTATTACTGTATGTAATGTTAAATGTATTCCTTTTTAAAATCTTTTATAAGTTATATCCCACTAAAAATTATTGATATATTTTAGTTTAAAATTTTTAGCCATAGTCATAATAAAATGCACTAGCATGAAAATGAATGAAAATGAGACAGTAATTTATTGACCATTAAATGTTTTTACATTTGTGGGCTCTCTAGGTTATTGGGTATAATGTTGATTACACAAGAGTCGTAGTACTAAATAAATTGGACATAAAAGACACATATTTCTATTGTTGACTAGTGCTTTTTTGCCATGTGGCAGTTTGTATGAACCAAGCTACTGCTTTAATGCTTTCTCAGAAAAAAACAATGATTGAGTAGCAGGGATAATGTTTATAATGCTGGTAAATGACCCCTGTTCTATATATTTATGTTATTGAACATTCTGGCTTGTTTTCTAGTGATAGTGATTGTTTAAAAAGGTGTTCATATCAATAAAAAACTAATAATAAAAATAACAAGAACAATACCTTTAAAAATCCCCAATATACTAAGAAAACTACAACAATAATAATGATAATTAGTATTATTATAAATATAGTAATAGTAATAATAATTCTCACAGGAACTTGAACATTTGTGGGTTTGAGGTTGATGCTAAGTTTAAGCAGGAAGGTGGGATTTGTGTCAAAACAAACACATGATGAAATATTGCATCTAACTTATTACTTAAATCTGCAGCTTAATACATGCTAAAAGAGTGTAACTGGTGATTACTTGGATTGAAAAGCAATGAAGCTGGCATTAAAACATTTATGAAAATAAAATCCTTTTGAAGAAATAAAGGTGGCACACAGTCTAATTGCTCCTGTTCTTGGTGTTTTAGGTTCACTGCATTGGATCCATTTGGTCGAGTGGAGTCCAAGCATTCCTACAGTGTAGCTAATGCCTTTAAGTATGATAGGTGGCACAGTTTGGTGCTGCTGAGGAACCATCATCCACTCAAATGGACCGAAGAAGAGTTCTTGGATATGGCAAACACGGGGCTCTCATGGTAAAGGTTTAATTGCTGAAAAGAAAAAGTTGAATCAGTTTGGTGTATGTATAGTCAGTGAGAAGTTAATTAAAGACTACAAGGTTGCTTGGGGGGCCCTAGTTAAGCACAAGCGGGCAAATCTGTATTTGTTTTCCTTCCTGTACTTGGCACCCCAAGGTTCTAGGAGTTTATTGGTCTAAAGCTGAAACAGTTACTGAACTTTTTTTATAAAATTTTACTGACCTAACTTTGTATTGTAATTTCTAAATGAAATTTCTGTCAAAAATGTGAAATGAAAAGGTGATTAAAAAAAAACAGCTTTCTGATGCAAATTTTGCAGTAGTTCAGTTGTTGAGGCAGAGGTTTGACAAAACATGGCTTTTCATGTCCAATTCCAGGATGAAGAATGTGAATGCCATCCAAAAGGACTATGTCTATCCCATAATATTCTGGGACTTACTTCCTCATGCAATGGCCAGTCAGATTCATCCACACATACATGTTAACGTGCGGCCAGATCAGTATTATGGTAAGCAATGGTCAATGTTTGATTAAAAAGATCGTCCTTAATCTTGATCACCCTTTATTGGTGCATTCACGAGAAATCTGTCGTACTAGGTGGTTTTGAACTAACTCCAAGGGGACTCCCTGAATGCAATAAGATGCACACAAATGCTCTTGCTTCCACGTAATTGTGCAATAAGGAGCTTTTCTACTCAACACCAGGGGGCACTTTCATCTTTTTATCTGATTGTATTCAGCAACAATCCACACAGAGTTAGTTCAAACTACCTAGTACAATAGTTTCATTATATTGTGAATGCACCCACATTTAGCCCTTAACGTAATTGGTGTCATTGCCTGAAGACATTAGTACATACTGTCTCAGTTTTCTGTGTGATTTCTGTGGCATGTGACTTGTAGCTACAATTATGGCGGCAGCGGGTGGGACAATAAAGGGAATGATATTTGCTGCTCATCACACTAAAAATTGATCATAATCACATCTCCATACTTGCTTTCCAAAAATGCTTATTATGACCCTCTCTGTCAGCATTTTTATTCATTGTTTCATATTTGTAGGTGCTCAAGAGTTATGGCGCAGGGCAGGAGAAACATATTTTAGGGAATTTGGCAGCAACTATTTCAAAGAACTGAAAGAACTTCATCAGGTTTTGGGACTCACAGTGGACTTGGGGACTGCCACTGCTTTTGCCAATCTGGTAAGTTGGTTAGTGACTGCTGTAGTGAGTTAACATTTTGAAAACAGGCCTATTATAGATAATTGATTATTTTCATATGGCTTCAATTTATTTAAATTAAGTGCATTAACAATCTGTGACATTTAAGTAGATTTTTGTAGCATATATTGGTCCCCATTAAGAGCGTCAGACTGAGACTTTTGGTGTTTTAGTTTTCTGTAATTTGATTTTTCAGAACCCCAAACATGAGACAGAGATCATTGTTCTTAGCAGGACTCCAAACAAAGATTTCTTCAGGCTGATATATTATGTGCTCAGAAGTATGGAGTATTAGAATTTCAAGGAAAAAGAAAGAAAATGCATTCCTGACACAGAGTTCATTTCCTGTCTAAAATTTTCTGTGCCAGCATAGCAAGAAGAGTTAGTTTTCAGTTGACAAGTTGAAGGAGAGATGCATCTTGAAACAGACATGAAATATATAGATTTATAACAAGATTCCTATTCACGTGTCATGAAAAAAAAGATATAATTGGAGCATTACTGTTCATTAAGTTCTGCTCAAGATGAAAATTTCCTTAATCCATGGTTTCTTTTTTTTTTTTCTTTTTAGCATACTTAGACGACCTGGATCAATTGTGCTTCAGCATGGCCATAACATTACCAAGTCTGGTAAGTAATGTGAATGATCATAGAGGACTCTTGTAAAACAACATTTTGATCAAAAGTGAAAATTGGCAATTTATTGATCATATAATTTAAATCCGAATGTCACTGACCACCAGGATTACATCAGAAGTTGAAACATTGTTGCCGTCTGCCATATAACTTGTCCCAGATCGATAGATGTTTCCCTTACTCTGATTGATCAGTCATGTGGTTGATAAAATGTTTCCTCAACTCTGATTGGTTTTTAGGTGCCAGATTCATATATGAATGCTGATCGTGGCAGAATGCCAGCTTTTGCCAGAATCACCAGCAGGGGTTCCGCTTCCAGTGTGAAAGGGGACCTGAGCTCCATGGAAATGTATGGGGTATGTACCTGACGTGTAACAAAACCAGTAGAAGCAAAGCATTACTTTAAGTAGCAGTTAGTTTCATTACCTAAGGACATGATGGAGGAATTTTGCATAACCATACTTTGCTTTTAGAATAAATTACGACTTTGCCCAGCTACGCACCAAGTTAAACATTATCAAAATGTCTAATTACTATATGGTGTTAAGATCCTGTACATTTTCAAACAAATTATCAGTCAGTTAATGAACAGCAGACATCTCAGTTGCTTTGTATGTATTCCAGGTATCTAATGTGAACATGGAGCCTTGGACTATGATTCAGCATGTCCAGCAGTCTGTAAACAAGAGATCTGTGGGTGGATAATAAGAAAGAATAAGAGGATTTAAGAAGCACTAGAATATGAACAGGAGGCCTGACTCGGGCACAGGAGTCCATCAGTTCAGCTGTCTGTGTTATCTTGTCAAAGATGGATTAAGGATGGGAGTTCTTCTCTTTCAGGAGGTTGTCTTCCTTTGTGTGTTTGAAAGGAATGTGGTGCTGTTATGAGTACCTTTTTTAATTGAATTTATTAACTTACATATTTTAATAAAGGTATTTTATTTTTTTACTTTTTTGGGGGAGGGAGGGGGGGGGGAGAAAAGCATTTTCTGTTCCCATTGGTACTTTATGATCCAGTTTGATGAGAGTATATTGGGTAATATGGAACAGGTGTTGATGTTATATATAAATATATATATGTGATTAACCTGCAGTAGTGGAATAAAAGGGCCTTTTATAAGCCATTATACAGATAGAATGTTGAACAGCTCGTTAACAGAAGCTCTTGGACAACAGCCATTTTGCAGGTTGAAAACATGATGTATGTTTGAGTTTCCATTTTTAACCCCTATCTCTGTACAATACACCTTTGTCCATTGAAAGGTCCCATGTCTGCTGAATCGAATTTTTTTAATGGGTAAAGTCCTTCTATTGGGACAAATTGACTGACAGCATATTGTTCATAGAGATATTTAAACAAAGCTAAATCACCATGTTACTAACAACTTATGCAGTTTAACAGTATATTTTTATACCGATTATATAAGTATAGTTTTAAATTTTGTGCAGAAATTGAAGTCACCCAAGAATTGTTTTAGTGATCACTTAGTTTAACTGCAAAAATTTGATGTTGTAAAAAAATAAGGTTAAATGTATTGTTTTCCCTGGCCATTTATGCTCTTATAATGGCTTGCTTGTGATGTGATGATCATGATGACTGTATTGTATTGTGGGATGAAATTTAGGCTACCCCCAAATAAGTCTAATGAAAATCTAGATACAGAACTTCAGAATTAAAATTCATATTTTGTGTTCAAATGGTAAAAATGCTTTTGCTTCTGAACTTTTCACTTTGGAAAATGTATTTCAGTAATTTTTAGTTAAAACAATTGGGCAGACTTATAAAATGGGTTTTATATTAATATGTTGGTATCACGCTTTAGAACTGAATTTGTTTAGATCATTCTGTGATTTGTGTCAATAATTATATCAAGGTGAAAGATTGATTGTACATCTAATTTTAAGAAATCAAAGAAATAGAATGTACTTTACTAAAATGACAGTTGAGACTTCCTGCCTATAAATATTAATTAATGTTTAATTTATTTGATAGCCTGGTTTAAAGATATTTGTAATATGCCATAATTTTATTCATAATGTAAGATCTTTTATGAAATTAGGGTAAAACTTGGTTCTATAAATTATAACTGTTTTTTATGGGAGCAAGGTGAAATTCTGATCTGGTAAAGTTATTTGTGATAATATATTATGCAGAGAAATGTGCATATCAAAGTTTGTCTTATACAGTTCATGTATGCATATTGTATCACTAAAAGAGATGTCTATTATAAATATATCAGTCACAACTGCATATCTTTCATGTCCCAAAATTCTATATATTATGCCAAATACTTGCCTTTAATTTTGTGTTTGACTTTTAGTGTTGAGGTTATGTAGTCAAGAGTTATTTTTGTTAGATTCTGGTATAACATATAACATTAAAAAAGTGCATAAATGCTTACAAGTTGAGGTTTTATTTTCATTTCTTACTTCATTTTATGAGGATTGTGTTTGTCAGTATTAGTGTTTATGTCCAGTCACTGTTCCCAAGGTTTTGAATGATTTATTGTTTATAAGATGGGTTGCACATTTTACCTGTTTCAGCAGAATATAGCTGTAGGTTGCAGAGGGTCACAGTGCCTTAGAAGTATAACATTAACCAATTTTTTGCATGTATATTTATGAGTGTAAAATATGTGAAAATATACTATTTTAATAACACCAATATAATAATTATATTAGATATTAATAGCAAGTGCAATAATAGTGAAAAAAGTTAATCATTGCAAAAAAGTAATGCACATTTTAATCAATTTTCTTATCTGAATAAAAAAGTATTTTATCCATTTCATGATTGGTTTGTCCATTTTTCTATTTAAAAATCTTTGTGAATATTTTTTCATAAAGGCCTTGGATTTTAATTTTTAAGTAGGCAAAATTTACTGTTTTTTTTTTTTTTTTTTAATAGACAAGAAAATCCTGGATAGGATACTTTAAATAATTAAAACAACCAAAGATATACGTATTCATTCATTTATGTACAGTAATAAGATTGTATATACAGAGCTCAATAAAATGCTGGTACAATGATTAAGAAATACATTCAACACAAAGTAATGAACCTTGGAAACACATTTTTAGTTTGAACAGTGGTGCTTCATGAAAAGTAAAAAATAAATCATTATGAGATTGTAAGGCAATCATGTTTTCACAAGAAATGTGTCCATGATAAGATTGTTTTTTTTTTTTTTAATCAAAGATTGATTATCATTTTTCACTGTCTCTGCAGTACTGTGGCAAATACAAGATATGGAATGATGAAAAATTCATTAAATTCTGCCCAGTGTTCAGGTCATTTTTTCTCTCAAGATGCCTCTGTAAAACTCCTTTTATACAAAAACGAAAAGACATTTCATGGCCTTCTTTCAGTTAAGTTTTTACTTCTTCTTTTTCTTTCCCTTCTTTCCTCCTTTCTTCCCTTTTTTGCCCTTGCCGCCTTTTCCTCCGGCATCTTCGTCATCGCCCTGTGCCGCCTTGGCACGTTTCTTACCCAGAGGGGTCTTGGCGTACCAGGTCTGGAAAACAAGGTAAAAGTTAAGGTTGGGTTCATAGTCGTATATCTTCAAAGGGAGATCGGCCCACTTTACAACTTCATGCCTTCATCTTTATGGCTCTGTTCAATCAGGGAATTATATCGTATTCCCTGGTTCAATGTAATAATTTCACCTCCCTGAGAAGTATAAAACACAAGCCCCACATGAGTAAGTGGCCCTTGGAGTTGGTTATTATCCACAAATTCATGGCCAGATTTTAGAACAGCATGAAATGTCATCCCTGACTTTTTTTTTATACGTAGCTCATATGGTACATGCATAGTGTAATAGTATCTTCCCTGAAGGCCATGAAGATGCTTGAAAGTTGACTGCCATACATAATATTTATTTAGAACTTTTAGGACAAAGTACATACTTGCCTGGAAGTTTCATTATTTAGAAAAATATTTAAACAAAAAATTTAAATAAAATCTACGTTTGAAGATCAAATAAATTTCATGGCATTGACAAAAATATTACAAGGAATTAAAAGCAAGTTTAGATTTAAAAAAAAATCACATTTTATGAAGTAACATTTAAAGCATATTGTCAAACAACAAAATCCCTACCTTAAAAGCCTCTTCTTCTTCTTTATAAATGGGATCAATGCGGGCCAGTGGTGCAATGAATTCCACAGCCTGCAGAGGTTTCTTCTGCAGCTGGGAAATCCGTCTGTCCGTCAAAACTTGCTGACAGGCCGTCACCATGTGACCTGGCGTGTAGCCATCTGTAATCTTAGCCAGCGAACTTATGTCTAGATTATTACCCACAATGCCTCCTGCCTTCACTATTTGACTGCGCCAGATTACTGAAAACAAGAATCAGTAATTTTCTTTTTTAACTGATGTCAAAGCATGGAGAAATGTACAATACTCATGAATACATTGAGAAATTTCAGCTTGGATGTATACTGCTGTTTTAACAAATGAAAATTATAATATCCCATTTCATTTCAGTGGTTTTAGCCATCTACATGACTGAACTTGTCTGAAAAACCATTCATTTCCTTTGTGGCAAAAAAAATAAAATAAAAAAAAACTTGAAATAAAATAAATAAAGAAAAACCATTATAGATTAAAAAGGAGCAACACCATAAACTGCCCTGCTTATTTTAAATTTTACACCAAATGCAGCTGAATTTGACTAAGTGTAAACAAGTAGTAAAACTCACAATTCCTAGAAGCATAGTCTGGTCTAGGGATGAGGATGATTCTCTGGTACAGAGTGCAGAAGGGTTTAATTTCTGCCTCAAATGGTGCCCTTGATGTCCCAACCAGAAGCAGACGGTCCTCTGCCTTTACATTCTTCATAGCTTTGGGTAATTCTTTCTTTAAACGTTTTGGGTCAGTCTGAAATGTTTGTATATTATGTCAGTATGTATTGTTTTACTGGTTTCAAATAACATTGTTTCTTTTAAAAAAAACTCAAACAATGGCATTCTACTTTTATCTAAGAACTTCCATAAACCATTTAATATGCAGATAACAAATATGCCCATTGAATCATCATTATAATGAAAATAGTGAACACTGAGATTTGCTTATTTAAAAAAAAAAGGAAATTCACTTACAGGATCTGTCTTAGGTATTTTCTTCTTGAGCATTTTCTCACATTCCCCAATGTAGAAGACTGATGGCTGCATGGCTCTCCCAACCTAATTTATGAAAGAAGACATTACAAGAGATTACATGTGAAAAAGACCTTGAATTGTAGAGTTAAATTATAAGATAAACTTCTTTCCTCAATGTGTGTCTGTGTGTTTGTGAGAGAGAGAGAGAGAGAGAGAGAGAGAGAGAGAGAGAGAGAGAGAGAGAGAGAGACTCTCACAACAAACCTTGAAAAGTAAATGCATCAACATCTTCAGCCCATCTTTTCCTGGATATTTCCCAACAAGGTTCTGTGGTGTAAGATCAAACAGGTTGGCTCCCGTCTCCGCGCAAATGGAATTCACCAGCATGCGTTTGCCCGTACCACGAGGACCAGCTAATAACACCGACTTCACCAGTGGTGCTTTTTCATGGACTGCCTGTGAGCCTGCAAGACCCAAAAATACAGAATTCAATTACCTTTCACAAAATATTTTTATTTTTATTTCATTGATAAATCAATGTATCAGAACCAGCATAAACATTCCATATGCAAAATGTCAGCAGAGTTTTTTTTATATAAGGAATGTGAAAACAGGGGATGCCAAGGAGAAGGATCATGGTTGCAGCTAAAAAAGAGAATAAGTAGGAGGTAGGAGTAAAGGAGGACATAACAAAGGACTGTTGAGGGTGGAGGTGTACTATCTGCTGTGGGGATCCCTGAGAAGGAACAAACCTGCAAAGCTGAAAGTCAAAGAAGCAGACGAAGATAATCTATACAAATAAATGGCCTTACCCAAAGGTAAAATAGCAAACTCTGTGACCACCCTCCTGACATCACTGAGGGACGGCATGGGTTCTATGTTAGCTTGCCTCAGGGTAGTGCCCAGGTAGCTATACTCTCCCTCGTACTCCTTCAGCTGGACCTTAGGGACACGGACTATAATGCCCTGCATCACCAGCTCCTCATACAGTTCTTCTATGGTTCTGAAAGAAAACAAAATATTTAAAGTTTATCTTATAATTCTTTGATCATTGTTCTGAGAGGGATATGTTATTGCATTTATTTATTGATTTTGTATGATTCTTCAGTTCCTCTGAAAAGTGGAAATAACTACATTTTTTACACAAAATATTTCTATTATTTTGAATATATGATAATACGCATTACAGTTTTCAATAATCAAAGTAAAATGTCTCTATGCTGACATTACTATATAAACAAGTTTGAAGGGGAATCTGCATGTGGGTTTCTAGTGCACATTCCTCCAATGTAGTGATGATAAAGTATCTAGAATGTTGTGATGGGTTCAGTGACTGGATTCGGACAAGGGAATGCTACTATTATGATACTTATCCACACTTACTTTGACCTTGTTAGCCTTGTCATGACAAGCAAATCAAAATATATGGATGATTAATGAAATTTCAAAAATTATATTGTCCTAACAGTATTCTAAATAATTAAATTAAAAATCAATCCACAACTTAATTAAGAAAACTATATGGCTGAACATCTTTACAATGTGGCAGATTTGTACTAACAGAGTAAACCTTATTTGAAAATATTTCATTTGTTAAATAATTACCTGTCTGGAGTCAAATCTTTCTCTTTCTTTCCTTTCTTTCCCTTCTTTCCACTCTTCTTCTTCTTTTTCTTCTTCTTTCCAGACTTCTTGCCTTTTTTCTTTCCCTTGTCTCTATCCACTGCCTGAAAGATAATTCAATATGAAAAATAAACTGCTCTTGAATCTCAATATGAAAATAAAGTTTCAGATATAACTCTTTTTCACAGCTACATTTTTACTTGTTAATCACTGACCCCTACCAGCAGAGAATAGCCTAAGCAATAATTATCCCTGACATGCTAATTTCTTACTAAATTTGAACAAAATGTATTGATATACTTTGCCACAAGTGTTTTTGTCTTTAAGCTCTTCTTTGTGACTAAATTATAAATTTTTGGTAAAAAATTTAAATATTTAATCAACTGGCACTAAAAATGTGTTAATAAGTTCCCTTTACTATATTGGTCACCTGGTAATACAACTTTGAATTCAAACCAGTTTAGAAAATTTTGCGTCCGTATGCACAACCAATGCAGATGCCATCAACTCACCGCCTTCAGATTTTTAAGCTCTTGTCTCATAAGTTCGTCCACCGATACTCTGATCTCTGCTTCCACCTCCTTTCTCTTATCCTCTTTGATCAACTCTGCATCATGTTTCTGAGAGAAGTTATCAGCCTCGTCTCTAGTCTGCCACACGCCCTTGTAAGTCTCCTGTCCCTCGTGTACAGCAGGCACGAAATTAGAGGGCGCCATCTTCCAGCCTTCCTCCTCTTCCTAAAGATGAAGAACCATGAAAAAGGCATTGTTACAATGTTAAAAGTGTTATTAAGCACTATATGTTACTTAATGGAAAGCAATATTGTAATATTTAGTTACATTTTAACAATGATAATCATTAACTTTAGAACATTGAAATTTAAACATTAAAATTACTCTTGTCATCAGAATGCATGCAAAATTATTCAAATAATTTTTGTTTTGTGAAATATGGCTTATAATTTTTTTCATTTTGTTCAAATTTAGTGAATATTTACAAGAATACTTACATCATCATCACCTCCTTTTCCTTTCTTCCCCTTCTTTCCTTTTTTGTCCTTCTTTCCTTTCTTCTCTTTCTTATCCTTCTTCCCCTTTTTTCCTTTCCCTCCTTTTCCACCTTTCTCTTCCTCCTGCAAAGAATATGAGAAATGAATTCAAGAAAAGATGACTGATGCTTCCAAGAGTTTTATTTAATTCACGAATAGGAAAAAATCAATGATTATAGAATGAAAAATTAATACATATATTAACACACATTATTTTAATAATTGCATGGATGCAAACATAAAAGTTATTCGACAATTTTATACAATAATCTTACTACAAAAAGTAACACAGGTGCCCCTATCGTGATGCCCAAATGTGTATTTTATTACCTTGGCTTTGAGCTCTGCCTCAATCTCTGCAGGGTCTTTCTCCTTGAAGATCAGAGCAGACCCTCCCTCATCCTCATCAGGATACTCTGGAAACTTGCCTGTTGCATCCCTAGAGAAGGAATAACATCCATGTCAGACAAAAATGCTAAGAAATAAGGTACTATTTTATTTTTTCTCTCTGATTTCTACTCTCAATCATTTCATCATGACATGAAACTAACTTCGAAAACATAGTAGCTAGCTAGTGAATGTTAGTGAATATTCATTAGATGGTGTCTGTTTTTTTTTTCTTTTAATCAAAATCAAGCATAGAGTCTTTTAATTGTAGCAAGTTATGAAGAGATAGTCACTGTTCCATCAATATACCTTAGAACAACAACATTTTAGAAAATGGCATGGAAAACAGTACTTGGACACAGAGTTTTGAATGAATAAATAACGTGAAGCATTGGCAATGGACACAAAAACTAAAGAAAAGGAACCAAGACACTAAAAATTTACAATATCTGTTTCATAGGACAACCTAAATTCCCCTAAGCCTTCAACAATTCCTTCCCATACCTGCATTCAATAAACCACTGCCTGATCTGATCCTGCATGGTTTCCTTGATATCAGGGCCCTCCGTCTCCTTAATCTTGTCCTTAATGAGGACCAGGGCCTGCTGGTACTCCTGCTCATTCTTTTCCTGGACTGTGTGGCGTTTCTCCTCCGTCTTGAGGGCAAGGGCCTGGGGTGTGTTCTTTGGGTTTGCAGCAGGTGGAGGGGGTGTCTGAAATGATGGGAATAAGCATGATGATGATGATGATGAAAATATAATCAGGATGTAATGATCCCTTTATGTAACTGTTGATGACCATTCAAAATTCTTATCTTTAAAACAAAGTTACTAGGAGATTATGTCAATTGAATACTATTCATTTCAGATACATTTTGTTTTACAAATCAACCCTCCAGCAAAATTGACTTGAACAATTTCTCATTTAAAAACATCATCATCAATAAAGTAAGCCTTATATTTTGACAGTCAAAATAATGGCATTAACATTTTAAAAATTATAAAAACTTCAAAGTAAATCTCAACTAAAATGATTAAAACATTGATATAACTCTCCTTTCGAGATTAATTACTGTTACTAATAATTATCTCTTAAAATAATTATAATCATTATCATCATTTCAGTTATCCTTATTAATTAGTTTGCATTTTTTCATCCAAAAATAAAACTGCCTAAAGCCAATAACATAACTTTATACTTTTTTAAAATTCTAAATATTTTGGTCTTCATTTGTCAACTATCCTGTCCTTGAATTAATTATCAAATCCAATATATCAAAGTTGCATCCAGTGTCCTTGTACTCTCAGATAACAAACTAGACTTGTTTGTATTTACCATTCCCAGCCAGATAAATTCCTCATCCCTTTCTCTCAGCGCTCGTTTCCTCTGTGCCAGACCCTTCCACAGCTATAGTGTGAAATAAGTTGAAATTTGTATTGTTTTTATTGTGTCTTGGGTTTTATTGTTAAGTGCAGCATAAAAACCAAACCAAAACCTGTGGTAGTTATGCCTAACAAGTGAATAGTTTTTGATATGCCAATATACAGCATCAGCCAAGGTGCAAGGGGAGGCCACAGTATCACCAGCATCTTTTCTTTTCTTTTACCAATGATAAAAAATAATAAATATTAGATAAAAATGAATAAATATGATATAAAAAATGCACATATATTTGATACTATCATGATTTTTCTTTAGATAAAAAAATTCCTTTAACGTGGAATAAACTTTCAGTTATAATTGCCATAAGCAAAAGATTCACAAAATACTCCCCTGCTGGTTGCAAGCAGTGACCTTGACCCCTGTGACCATGACCTTGACCTGTATATCAGCACATCATGTGATAAGTGTGACCTTACCATGCCTATGAACATAAGCTCCTCCTCTCTGCGCTTCTGTGTCTTCCGTCGAGTGATGAAACCTTTCCACATCTGTGCAAGTGCAACAATCATCAAGGCAAACATGTTAGTGCAAAATAAACAACACAAAACAATGAAGTGATCTACTAAAGACTGTGCATAAGTACATGTGCTCACTAATTTGTGTAATATGGAAAAAGTGGTCTTTTTTATTGACTTAACATTGCAATAACCAAAGTCTCAGAAAATTCCAAAATTTTGGGAGTGATCTTGAGGGCATTTGCAAACAATACAAAGAGTGCAGCTAATCTAAACAGAAGCAGTCCCTGTATGTGTTTTCTGTTGAACATGACACACTGTGATGTACAACTATGACTATTTTTATAGCTAAATCAGTGCACACAGGCATGTCTCAGTCTCTGTACTTTAATGTACTTGTTAGTTGAAAACTGTGTCAAAATCAGCATTTCAAAGAAAACATGTTCAAAACTGGCAAATTTTGTTACGATCAAGACTTGTGAATAGAACCAGGCTCAGCACCAATTTTACAAGCTCTTTACATTTTATACAATTATAGTGCTTGCTTACTTGTTCTGACTTTTAGTTGATGAAAAATGCATTTCTTACATGAACTGTTTTCAAACTTAAAAGTTGTCAATTTCTGCTGTAATATATTCCATGGACCAAATTATTTTAACCAAATGATGCTTGCAGTTGAGTCTTGTTATAATTCACAACAACAGTAAAACATTTTAAAACAAAGAAATGTATTAATTTCTAAAAAAACATGTTTTATAAACATATCATTAAAATTATAAACAACTGTTCATTGAACATATAGATATAGCATACCAAAACTTTTTGTTGGGAAAAAAATTGACAGAGTAACTTAATGATCCCAATATTATTTCACAAAAATATCTGCATTTCTGCACCCTTATGAAAACATGCTTCAGAAACATCTCAGGTTTCATTAAATCCAAAATTCTTTATCATTTACAAATTTATTTTTTAAAAACTCTCGTGAAAATTTAAATAGTTAGTGCAGTATGGCAAAAAGTAAAATAAATTCTGCTGTATGGAAACATTTAAATAAAATTGGTATGTTCAACTGTCCAATCTGTTGTACTTGAATAATAACAACAGTAGATATCTAAACTCTTCATAATGCAATTGACAATCCAAGCTTTATCTAGTGTCCCATACAAAAATAAAATAACTGCAAATATTTTGAAACTGAGATGTCACAAAAGCATAAAAATGGTTCTGTACAAATACCTTACCTTCTGGATCTTAATTGCGGCCACTTCACTGTCCATTGTTGGCGCTCCCTTCTGTGATGCATTCCTGTCACGCTCTTCTTGCAAACGGATTTCACGCATGAATTTTGCACGCAGTCTGCCTTGTCTTGCACGCTCGTGAATTTGGATCAAGCGTATAGCTTCCTCCATTGACATCTTGACCTCTGCTTTTTCCTAGAGGAAGCATAATTTTTACAGTATATACATTTGATTTCTGTTTATATGTGCTCAGTCTGTCTTTAATATAAAAGCATAATTTACAAGAAAAAAATAAATTTTGCACACAAATATTGTTTGTGAACACTTTTTTATATTGAACCAGAAAACAAAATTCAATATAATCAAAGATATCAAATGTTTTTAATCCAGCATAGTATGTTTTGGTCAATTAATTTTTTATTAAAACTCAAAACAAAATTACTTTCACCACTTCAGCAACCCAGCACAACACTGCTAAGCCTTATATTATAAACCCGATAATAACAACAGTATTATTAGAGTAATGTTATGATTATAGTTTTAACTCCTACCTCTCTCTCTTGTGGTCCCATCTTTGCAAGAATCTGTCCCAACATCTTCTCAGTTTTTTGCAGGGCCTCCTTCCTCTCTCTTAGAAAATACCTTGGAATCGGCATCTCTAGATCATTCTTTTAAAAAATAAAGAAAAAAAATAGTCAATCAATACATCAAAATTCAGCCTGTTTTTTCATGTGAATCAGGGGGAGTGGCTAAAAAATTATGCCCCTTGTATTTTTCTCAATGTATACCCAAGCTTTTTAGTATCACAAAAACTATATATATATATCACTGAAAATATATTTGTTCCTTCATACTTACTGGAGTAAGCTTGAGATCTGACAACACATCATCCATATAATGATATTCAGAGAATTCCAAGTTGATCATCTCATTTTTCAACTCCAGTATCCTTCCTATCACACCATCCAGCACATGGCGAAGCACACGCCGCTTCTGTGGATGCACAATCTGGTCGTAACTCTCTTCCAGCCTGCGGAAGATCTGGATGTACTTGATGTACATTGTGGCCAGAAGTTGGAATGCTGCCAACCGATCCTGGAATTAGAACACATATTTGGCATGATAAGGAGATATATTTTATTACCATTAATAGTTATATTAGGCCTACAATGGGTTATATATACACAATCCCTAATAAGAAATAGAAATTCTCAAAAAGACCCTAATCAGCAATTTAAATTCTTATAATCTCTAATGATAGTAAATCTACAAGTACCAAGCGAGACCCATGAAAAGAAATTCGATTCCAGAAATTAAATATTGTTTTATATTGCAGCAACACATTACAGAAATGTTTTTCTTACATGAAGAGTGATTATATTTATTAAGGATATCTTGGATATGCATGAGCAATTACTTTTATGGTGTTATAATATCTCATACCTTCTCCGGTTTTGGTGGTTCCTCTGGCATTTCCACCTGAATCAGGTCTGCAATGGCCGACTGGGCCTCGGCCCATTGTCGGTTGTATGTACTAAAATGTGAAAATACTTAATTTAAGCTCTGAAATATTTTCTACCTCACACATTATTTTTATTTTTACACAATAACGTGCTAACAATAACGGAATGTTCTTTCACGTATGATTTGTAAATTTACAAGTTGCACATCTTTTTCTCTGCTATGAGCATGTCATATTTTCTGATTCTCAATTAGAATATTTGGTTTACGCAGCAATATTATTTAATTCCATTTATGTATGTGATATCTAACAGTGTTTACTATACTTAGTTTACATGTTCATCACGCTGAAGTTCTAAGGCTGCGAGTTAAATAGTGCTGACATACGTTTTTCGGGACTTCCTAAGCCCATTACAAGAACCATAAAACTGGTATTTACTACACACTTACCTGTGAGACATGGATTATTGTTTCAAATCACTTAATTTATACATAAACCTAAATTATATACATTTTCTTTCGCAAGCCATAGATTTCACTAGGTCTTGCTCTCAAAGATGGCGTCATGTTGTCAGAGTAACCAGATATCGCGAGATTTCCAATAACAGCGAGATTTAATGTATGCGGTATCGGGGCTTCTCTACCACAATCGTATTCTGATTGTGCCCAGTAACGTTATTGACTGTCTCAACAGACACAAACATGTTTTTAAGACGTTATAAAAATGTGTTCATAAATCCTATAAACATGTTTGCATTGTTACTTGGTCAGAACCGCGAGTAGCATTAAAATTTATGTGGTAGCACTCCCGCTTACGGAATTGGTAAATGTAAGTACTAGCACTTCAGCTGGACTGCTGGGAGAAATGAAAACGCCAGTAAGTCGATGAGAGATCCAAGATTCCTGGGGAGGGGGGGGGGGGGGTTAGCTACTAAACATGAAAACCAACATAAATAGTTTCTTATCATTTAATCACTAATTCCTGCTGTTCAATTTATCAGTGTATACTTTAACGATATATAAATCAACATTTTCACATCTCTTTTTTTTTTTTCCTGTGGTCCGATAAAGTACATTGACTTCAATACAGAGAGCATACAAAAATGTTTACAAGACGTTATTAATACACAAATCTACTTTAACACTGAAGCATCAACTATAAAACCCTCTTGAGCGAGTTCTTTGTGAATAGATTATATTACTTTTAAATACTCCAATATGCCATACACAGTTATAAAATTCTTATGAATAATGACATTTGTACCTCTGTTCACTCTCAGAAATGTGAAAGTTGCTGTCAAGTTAACCTCTGGTAAGACAAAACTATGCAGTGAAGATCATAAATAATACCACCCTAAAATTACAAAATTAATCAAAATGTAGGATCCTATGAAACCGTTTAGTCACCAATTTGAAAATTCTTTGAATATTTGCAGCAACTGATCACATAAAAATCTACATGTATACAAATCTGTTACAGTTGCTAGAATATAAAATACATTGACTAGATTACCAGAAATAACTCTCTATTCAAACTATATCAAAAAGGTGTGATATGAATTGCAATCAGTTTCTATTAACTGAAAAAGATTGAATCACACTTTACTTAATCTTTGCTGGAAATACAAAATCTACAAGAAAAATTTTAAACATTAGGTTGACTTCTTTACTTTAAAAACTGGCTTCACTTAACAAGATCTAAATTTAGCTTCTGAAGTTACATCAACATCATTAAAGACGTGGGTTTGCCCCATTTTCAGTTTATTAAATAAGATTAAATGCTTAAAGGGATAATAACTCTTCGTATGAGATCTATATTTCACAATAAAAACATTGTGAATAACTCATAGAAATATAACATATTCTGTTTAACCTCAAAAACAGTGAGTTATAGCTATTATTCTTCTATCTGAGCTTGTCTTTAGACCAAGTGGCCTCCATTGATGGCTATACTCTGTTAAAATCTCTTAAGAGATTTTAACAAAACACCAAACTTTTTAGAAAAAAACCAGGGACTAACTTTGAATGTGAAAATGAATTCATTAACCATTGGCGAGTATGGGAAAATTGTCATTTACTCCAGGAAAATTCTTTTTTTAGCCGAAACGAAGAGTTATTATCCCTTTAAACATTGATCAACAAAAGAATAACTGATATAACTGAAGGGGAAAAAACAGCGATGCTTCACTATTATATTAACAGTGATTAAACCTGCATGCACCATTGTAGCCAACATGATATAATATCATATTTGATATATAACATTATTACATACTGACAATCAGTTACATGAACAACATTCCACACCAAAGCCACTGAATGTGACAATATGAATTATAGAATTTCCTGTCTAAAACAGTTGCTTTAGCATGGTCTTATAAATCAATAACTACATTTCATTTACTTAGATCTTCAATAATTGATGTCTGAATAGCAGCAATGGTGATAAATTATCAATAATATCAATAATCCTCCTTGTAGTGAGGCCTGGAGTAAAAAAAAAAAAAAAAAGCACTAATCTTTTTTACAGACTGAAATAATCAATATATACATATAAACAGAGGTTTCACTTAAAATACAAGGTATGATTTAATTGTAATAATGAAAACATTGTACAATTGCACAGCCAGGTATTCTAAAACCAAATACCTCCAACATCAAATAATCCTATAATCCCACTATGAATGTGAGTAGAAAATTGTAAAAACAAATAAATATATTATTCTTAAAAATCACATCTTAAACAACTTTTAATGTAAAAAGTTTGCTTCCTAGGATTATATATGAAAAACAGTACAACTTATGGATAAGGGTGCAACTCTTACTAATTTACTAAAACACAACTGGTAAAAGTAATATAAATTGCAACACAATTATTAGGCATTGTTACAGCTATAAGAAAAGTGAAAAACAAAACAAATGTAGACACTAACAACAATGACCCAAAACAGAACAACACAAATCATAAGTTTGATGTAAATAGGGATGTAGTGTAATAAATATCAAATAAATACTAGCATATTGGATGTGAACTTGGACTACTCCACACCACCTGCATAATTTTTAATTTTTGTTGATTTAGGGCCTTACAGCTTCAATTATATAAGAATTGTTGCTTGTGAAAAGAGATACATTTTTTCTGCTCTGTGTTTTAAGTTGGGTATACTTGGAACCCATGGAAAAATGGTGGATACTTTGCACAACATTTGTTATCTGTTATCAGCAAACCTCGTTTTAAACTTTAATGAACACAACTATCTATAATATAAATGACTTAGACAGGACACATCTTAATTATTCAACTTTTGTTCAGAAGAGAAAATATGTGATTTTACATTACTTAAAAATTTTCCATTTTTCTATTTTCCACAAATGTTTCCAATTCATGACTTCAGATTTCTTAAGAGCAAACTAAAAAACATGACTTAATGAATACGTTGTTCAAATTAGTATATACCATAGATGAGAAAATGAGTGTCCCTTATTCATTTGAGATCAAATGTGTCAGGTAAGAATGTGTCAGCAGTGGCTTGTAATCAGGAAAAGTTACACTGTTGTGAACCTGGAAACCCCTCTCCAGGCTCTTGTTTCACTCTCACACCTGAGAACATATTACCATTCTGTGAGTTAGCCCGACTGTGGGGCATTTGATTTGATTCACCTGACATGGAGACCATACCATAATTCCTGTCTGCTGCCATGGAGACATTTCCCTGAGAATTAGCAAAGAAGCAGGCAGCAGTAGTTGAAGAAGGTAGTGATATAGAAGGGTGCATTGGATTCTGATGATATTGCCATGGAAAGAAAGGGGATGGAGCTTCACTTTGAGCTCCACTGCCATTCTGGGAGCAAGCAGGCTGACTATTATTGCCGTTTTGAGAGAATGATGACCAGTTTTGGGGAGAACCCTGCTGCTCCTGAGAATTTTGGTGAGAATCATTGAAATGTTGTAATCTCTGGGATGGGTCTGGCCCCTGGGGCAGTAAACCCTGGGGTTGACCCTGGGGCTGTTGACTATTGTGCTGAGGTAGATGCTGTTGTTGCTGTGGAAAATGTTGCAAATGCTGTTGCTGAGAATGATGAAATTGCTGCAAATGTTGCTGTTGTTGGGAGCCGAAATGGACCTGAAAGCTTTGTTGTGTAGTTGGGCAATTTTGAACAGACTGGTTGAAAGACGCCAAGAAGGGGTCATATGGCTCAGACTTAACCTGAAGAACTGCCCTGCTGAAATCGGGTAGAGATGAAGACGCACCATGCTGTACAGCCATTGCACTGCCCTGGCCATTAGGAACCTGAAACTGCTGGAAATTCATACAGTTAGGCATCATATTTGAGTCACCTTCAACTTCTTTAGGCTCTTTTTTTATCTTTTTTCTCGCTCTAGGCTTCTTCTGTTTGGGTTCAGCTGGAGCCTTGGGGAGACTCTGACCATTTGGATCTGTGTCAGGTTCCTTCTTGACCTTCACCTTGAGGTCAAGGTTAGGAAAACAGATCTCTGATTCCTCTATATGGCTTATGTCACCTCTGAGGTAGTCTCTGTATTTCTTCAATGCTTGGTAAAATGGCACTTTGTCAACGGCCCTTGGAAGCTGGGTAAACCGTGCACTGGAGGAAGGCATCACGAAGATTGCCTGGAACAATACATGCAAAAGTTAGAAAAGGTCCCATTTATTTTTCCATTTCAATTGCCTGGTCTTTGAGGAATGATGTTCACAAGAGGATCACAAGATGGTATTATGACTGACAGACATGAATGCACAAGCCACTTTTGGTCCAAAAATCAATTACATTTCAAAATTTTAAAATTTGTTTATAATATTGGAATTTATATAATCATTTGTCAAAAGAGATCAAACTGGAGGGTTTATTTGAAAGTAAAACCAATTAATTAACAAGGACTCTCTCCAGATTGTGACTCACCGTGTCAGGACAGTCAGGAAAATGGTCCGGTTGTTTTCCAATGTGGAAGTTCTTGTGTCCAACAAACACTTCGTATATGCCTGGGAAAACAAAACCAGAACATATTTCAAGTAATTATAATTATATTTACAAGATTAGTGTTCCTGGTTTACTTAACTAATATAAAAGTATGTAACACAAAAGTGAAATTGCTTCTCTGAAGCTGAATTTGAATTTGACAACTGGTATTAAAATAGATATATTGGTAAATAGCAGTACTCCTATTCAATGTGACAGTTTGGTTAGAAGAAATGTAAGTGATTGATTTTCCATTCCTGAATCTCTTCTGATCAATTCTAAAGCTTCTACACAAAACCACAATCATTAAACAGTATAAAAAGGGAATGGCAATGTCTTGTTAGTACAGTTCATGCTTACCTTTCCCATTAAAAACTGCTATCTTTGGTTTGTATTTCTGTATTTTTCCTTTTAGAATTTCTCCACCTTCCTTGATTTCTTTCCTGAATTTACAAAGGACATGAGAGAGCTTTATTCAGTGTAAATCATCCAGAAATAAATAACTATATCATTCTGAGAATCAATTCTGAATCAGTATTTACCACACAGTGATTTTTTTTCTGTTTCTTCTGTTTCTTAATCTCCTACAATTTAGAAAATCAAAAATGCAAAAACACTTCATTTTTTTAAGGTTTGAACATTGAGTTTGCTACTCAGACACAAGCCTTGGTTTAGGAAAGACTCCCTGAAAATTCATCATGGATCAAATATTTAATCAGCTGGGAGTCCACGGCAGTGTGAGGTCCCAACAAAACTGAATTAAAAAATCATGGAATTCTCATGCCTGGTTACTACTTACTTTGTGAGATCTGCACTTCCTCGAGATGTTCTTTCCACGATATTTGTGAATCCAATTCCAAACTCTTTCAGCTTATAGTCATCATAAGCATTCAGCTGTTCTGGGATCAATTCAGACAGGAATAAGCATTTCCCTGTAAAGAAAAAGACATGATATATAGGCACGTTCATAAATTTGGGAAATAACAACCTTGTCTGCCTTATCATTACTTTTTAGGTAAAATTTTGTAATGAATTTGGGAAATAAAGGAAAAAAACTAGTGCTTTATACTTTTGGACATATCATAGAGATTTTGTTCTCATGTTTGGGGTTGGTTATTTTTTAAATGAAAAAAAGTTTAAAAACAAGTACTCTTTCCTAATCCACACTTACAGAAGTGGTTGCCTGGTCCTGCATAGTGGTGTCCCACAAAAGCTGCAGTGAGGCCAGGGTTTATTCCAACCTGAAATATATTAACAAAGAACTCAACAGAAAGTGACCTCAAAAATAGACAGCTCTATTGGCAAAAATGCTGGATTTCAATCCACATTTCCAATGCACACACACACACACACACAGACACATAAAAAATATTTTTGCAAATACTGAGCAAACTGTTTCATCTTTTACTCTAAAGATGCAAAACATCCAAATCCTTAATTTCTAGACCTTATCTGTAAAGTGTCAAATTTTATTTTTCTGAATGTTTTTTCATACTAGATCAGGGGCGGATCCAGAGATATTTTCTGATAGTCTTCCAAATTATCTTTGTTGATCCATCCACCATTTTTGACCGTCTTCCGACAGAAAAAATTAGATACCAGTCAATGTTAACTTGGAAATCTGACCGTCTTCCGGAAGACCCAGAAGACGGCCTAAATCCGCCCCTGTAGATATCAAATCAATGGAAATTATTTTCTTCTACTTACAATGACAATGTCCAGTCCATGGGTCAAGTGGTCAGGCAGTGTCCTCTGTAAAACTTCCTCTTCTGTCATCCCCTTAAACCTGTCATACTTCTTTCTGACCTTCAAGTGTTCTGTGATTTTCTCCTGTTTCACCTTGACCACTTTACCATCTACTGTTACAGACTCACCGCTGAAAATAAAAATCCACCATTTTCTTACAATGTTTTATACAACCTACTTTGGTTTACGAAAATGAAAAATATCTAAACCTACTGTCAAACTAATAATGGTTTGAGTTCTGACTAAAGCAAAAATCATTAATTTTAAAAATCTGCTCTTCATATTGAACATTTTCAAAGAACTGAAAGCCAAGAATGCTTACTTTTCTACAGGTTCTTCCTTCACTTTTCTTTTCCTGCCAGGTTTTTTCTTTGCAGGGGCAGCAGGGGGGAACTGTATTGGTGGAATCTGAACTCCGTCCCACATTGGCTCCTGTTTGACAGTGAAGTTTTGGCTATATGGAAAATAAGAAATTCATTTACTTCAAAAAGTCAGCAAGCAGAGCCACCAAGCAACAAACTATTTAGAGAATAGATGTGGATATAAATTAATATAGAAGCTTGAATGTCTCCCTTTTATCCCTTAAATCAATCACAAAGAAATCACAAAGAGGAAGCAATTGCAAAAACACTGATAGACTATACTAGTAGCTCCCAAGTGTTATGGATAGTTTTAAAATTACTGACTGCAAAAATTAACATGAGGACACAAAACTAGAAATCAACTATAAAAAATAATGTTCTATAAGTAATTAAGTACATAACATAAAACATTACAACTGTGTTTTGCCAAAAAAAAAATTCTTCTTTATTTTTATTTTCTTTCTTTTGCTTGTGCACTGGTTTATGGATTAGTAATCAATAGCAGACCTTATCTACCCTTCATTACCTAGCAACCAGAAATAAAACCCCTTTTATAGTAGCCACTAATTGGCTCTGGTCATGTAGAGTAAATTGTAAAATCTTGTTACGGCCTTTGAAATAGGTACTTTGTGATGGAATATAACTGGCATTTACAGTGATGGGAAAGGGTTTTCATTACCCAGATATTACAGAAAATTTTGCCCACTGAGCAACATTTTGATTTGCTTCATGTGTGTTCTGATTCAGACACTGATTGCTAGAAGACTGCACTAATTAACCAAATTAATTTTCCTAAAATTACTCAAATGACACGCAGTGCATGGTGGCACCCTGGAAACATAATTACTAAATTGATCTAATTATGCAATACAGATGGGTTTCTCTGTTGAACCCCTTCAGAACAAAATAACAGACTTTTTTCATAAGCAAAAGCCCAGTTTCAGAGGTTACTAGTGGAACATCCTATCTCTTCTACCAGTATCAGACATGCTGAAACTGTCGGTCTGATCGGTCATGACCGGCAAAATTTGTCTAGACTGGTAAAAAATTGGACTTGGTCGGTCCAAAGGACCGACAAGAGTTTTAAGAGTCGCAATTTTGAATTAACAGTCACCATTCGACATACTTCACTAATAAAATGATATAAAACCCAAAGCATTTTCCCTTCCATTTCAAACCTATCACATTCACAAATAAAGTAAGCTACCCTAATCTTACTGGTAGTACCCGTCTCAAACGAATAGGGTGATTTTTGGTCTGACAAAAATCCATTCGGTCCGGCAAATTTTTCATTACTGCCGGTCCAAATGTCCGGCCATTCTGAAAAGTTTTCAGCATGTCTGCAGTATACTTCTGTTATTCCCAAAAATGGCAGGTGCATGCTGATAACACAGGCATATTCCTAGTACCATTTGAAATTCAGGGTGGCAGATACAAACTACGGTAATTACTCTGTCTTTTCAATGGGCAAAAGTTATCAAACTTTCTGATGCACAATTTTTTAATCACAAAAATTATATTTCTATGTAGCATTTGTGGTGCTTTTACTGCATAGAATATAACTATAAAGTAGCCTGCTTTTTAATTTTGTTTGTACCACTCGGTATGAATGTTCTACAATTATTACTTAAAAATACCTTTTCCCTCATTGAAAAGATTTAGTAATTGCCTTTACTACCGTTAAGAGTTTGGTATATAAAATAGCATGTATAATATAATTAAAAGTATAATACTAACACATAGAAAATTTAATTATGACTTCACAAATAAAACTCAGAGCAGACAGGAAGACTGTGATGATGTACTGATGTGTAAGTGTTTCTAAGAATAGGCACTTAAATACAATTTAACCCTTTAACTTAGGGTTTTATACTTACAAATATGGGCTTGAGACCTGCTCCATTTCCAGTTCGTATTCTGCTACAATAGAACTCTTACTTCTGTTTCTTTATAACCTGAAAAGAGAAGATTTAAGGAAGCTTAACACATTTGCCTTTAGACACAGATCAAAATTTCATTTTAAAAAAATGTTCAACAATTAATGGTTGTGGCGGTAAGCAGCAAAGACAGCACCAATGACTTAACATTTATTATGGACACACAAAATGTAAAGCATTCCTCTTTTTTTGACTACTCATGATTTTTATTTATGCTCTTTGTTTGTTAAGAATTTTATAGAGTGATTAGGCTAAAACAAACAGCATAAAAAACCATAACAATGTGAGTAGGGCTATTAGACACTATAAATTATCAAAAAATCTTAAATTAACACCATTTCAAAAGTCAAATAATACTAATAGAAAACAAGACTAGTATGCTTAGAGGCCAAATTCTACCTCGTGTTTCATATGACAAAATATAGTCTCAAGTCATGGAGTTTATCATTCCCAAATCTAAGATTGCATCAGTTATGTTCCTATTAACATAAAAATTAACATACGTCATATGACAGTACAACAGATTACTTTGTTAGACTGTCTAATATTCTGTATATAATATAAATCTTTGCTAAAAATTAAAGGAAAAAATGAATGCTGTAAAGGACCTAGTAAAATAAGACATTTATTAACAGTATATTTTATTCAACACATAAAAGGCATTTTATTGCAAGACTCGTGTCAAACCTGGCATTTTGATAATCGTGTGGAACTGTCTAGTAAACATAAAAAAATAGATCAACACTTTCTTCCAGAACGTGTTCACCAATACCATTTGCCAATAATCACTCCGAGTAAAACAGTGCAATTTTCTTTATATATAGTTATAATACACAGAAGTTATAATTATGATGTATTTTTCATTTAACAGTACACATTTCATTTTTCTTTTTTTTTTTACGTCATATTTAACATCAGAGACTTTCACAAAATTTAGTTACTGCTTCAGTAATTTTCCTTATTCTATTACAAGTACACAAATTAAAAGAAAATCACCTTATTACATTCTAAATAATTGTTATGTCTTCGAGTTTATAACCTATATTTGAACAAATCTGTCTTTGAGAAAAAATTATTGGATTACTTTTCAAATGACCAACTGGTATTTTCATGACCAATATAATTAACTGTGTTTAACTTTCTGATCATTTTTGGACTCGTTGAAAATGACCTCGTCAGCCATCATTCATAGTGGCATTGCATTAGTAAGTAGCAATGGTGAGTGAAGTTCACTTGCCTACGGGAACAGTGGGCCTCGCAAATCAAGCTCATGCTTACACGTGATCAGAAGACACTCGATACACTTCATTGTGATCAGTTTTTTCTCTAGATTATAAACTATTACCTGCTCTTAGTACTGCATCACTGAATAACTCAACGTCCCTGAATTTCGAATATTTGTGCAGGCCCTTTGTAATTCCTTGCAAACCACAGCTTGCAGCCTTTTTCGCCTAACATACACAAAAGGTACTCTGTGATTGGTCGGTGCCAACACTCGCAACTTATCATTCGTGCGATTGGACAGCGGGGTTTTAAAGATGTCTGCGCCTTATGGGTAAGCTTGTGGACCCGTTTCCTCCCCTTAAAATGTAATTTTCAGTTTATTTGTATGATATTAAAACAATTTGTTAATGCATCGAATACTCACAACAATTTTGTTCATTTCGTTATGTGTAAGTGATGTGGTATAGTTAACATGCACGTTAAAGAACAGTAAAATGCACTTATGCAAAGACCTGGCGCACTCCTAAACAAAGCCTCGTTTTGGTGTGTAATTGTGTATAGTAACATACCTGTAAAACATCGAGACGATGCATTATGCAATGCTATAAAGTCTGCAATGCAATGATTACGTTATGTTTCATTTATGGTTAGCACTGCCTTTTCACGTTGAATTCTTGAATTTCAGTGGGAAATGTTAAGATCGCGCTTGCTACGCAGTTTTTTCCGTTCCCTCCCTGGCAGAAGGAGATTTGGAGCGTACAGTGTTCTCCCTCTTTGTTTCCTCGTGGGGGCTATGCTTGAATTCACTATGATAAAACTGAAAGTTGGTGAAGTTAACTTTTGTAAGTGTAACATACACCTAAAACTGATTTATTTATTTATTTATTTATTTATTTATTTTTAGGAGAAACTTGAAGTGCATTCAAAAAATCTTGAACAATAAGTTGCATTCAAAAACCTGTGACAGCTGAGGCCACATAAGAGGTGAAAATTGGCTGTAATCTTTTTGGTCAAAGTGTTTGAAATTTTCTCATTAAAAAAAAACTTCAAAAAGTTATAAGTAAATTACAAAATTGATAAATTGAACATCTGATCAAATTCACTTCTTGACTAAATAAGACAAACATTAAAGGGATAACAGCACTTCGTATGAGATCTATATTTCAAAATAAATACATTGTAAACAACTTATAGAAATATAATATATCCTATGTTACCACCAAGATGACAGTTATAGCAATAAATCTGAAATATGTGCTTGCCATCTGACTAAGTGACCTCCATAGGTGGCTATACTCTGTAATAATCTCTTAAGAGAAAATTACAAAAAAAACAACCTTTTTAGAAAAAAAAAACCAGGGACTAACTTTGAATGTAGAAATGGATTTATTAACCATTGGTAAGTATGGGAAAATTGCTGTTTACCCCAGGAAATTTCATTTTTTGGCCAAAATGAACAGTTGTTATCCCTTGAAAAGTCAAAGACTTACAAATGTTAGGAAAAGAAGGCTGTAAAAATATGATAAGGTTATTTAGGTGTAAAGCTGAGAAACTCTGGAAGATAAGTTTCACACACACCTAATGCATGCCAGCACATCTTCAATTTTTGACTTCATTCAAGTATGTGTGAATAGAATACTTCCACAGTCCCTCAGCTTTACACCTAAATAACCTTATCATAAAAATACCCATATTTCCAAGTACACCTGTTACTCAACCTTTCTATTCTGTTCTTATCTTTTCTATTTCAGATTCAATATGGACAAAAAGAATGGCTAAAAAAGCAGCAGCAAGACGTCTGCTTATCAATGAGAAAATTAATGTTATGTATCTATTGGACGAGTAATCCAAGACTTGATATGTTAAATAATAGTGCAAGGAGATAATTTTTCTCAATACAGGTTTTCTTTTGAGGGCAGTGAAGATCACATGAAATAACTGTTGATAAGAAAAGCAAACTGTAAAGGGAAAGAAGAACCCATAGAATCTGGAAAAACCATCTTACAAACAATTGTGATAAGGAAAAGATTTAGTATATAAGAAAGATCTGCTGCTGAGTACCTGCTTTTGACAAAAAAAAAATAGTGAACAAACGACTTGCATTGTACTTGCGCAGAAAGATCTGCTTTTGACAGGGGGAAAACAGTCGGCAGTCTTGCATCATTATAGTTAGTGAGGACACCACAGTTATTTTGATTACCCTGGAGTGGAACAAGACGAGCCAAGATGAGCACAAGCCAGTATATCAAGCTGCTCAGTGCTGGGCTATTGTCTATGTTTGCTGGGGCTCAAATAGTACACAGTTATTACAAACCACTGGAGGTAAGTAGAAAGAAGTGTTTGGTTCTGAATGCTCCCTTACTATGGCAATGTGCTAGGTGTGACATTGTGCAATAACTTAAAACTTGCTCTGTTTTTTTTTTTTTTTTTTTTTTTTTTTTTTTTTTTTTTTTTTTCACTTTACAACATTTACACTGGGCCCCGTTCCAAGGCCAGTAAAACTGAATTGAGGCTAGTAAAATTTTTTTTATTTGTAGGGTTTTTGGCCACTTTTT